GTCAGCTGAGTCCATGTTGAAAGACGGTGTGAGCCGCCAGTCGTGTCTTGTGTATATCATATCACAATAAAACCAAAAATTAGGACAGGAAAAAGAACACGTGGCTGAATCCGCAGGAAGGGAAATGTCAGGAGTAGCTGCGTTGCGGTGACGTCTTGGAAACAAGCTCATCTGATGTGACATTTAACATATTCTACGTTATGTCCCAATTAACACGTTTTTACATTATGTTCCAATTGATCACCCGTGCTCACACCGAGACTAAATCAAGTCTGTGCTTCTTTCTGAAATTGTTCCCTTTGCTTGGAGACCCCAGGGCTGCACACACACATCGTGGGGGCCAGGAGGGACGTTTGCGAGGGCTCGGCTCACGGTGGTCAGCGGTTGGGAGGAGTTTGCCTCTGGACACGGTTTGCTTCCCAAAGATCCTAACTACACGGAACCCTGAGGACCCTCTAGAGTCAGAGGACTGGTTGCCATAGCACCCGTGACCAAGGACAGGGCCAGCTCCATAATGTGTGGGTCCAGTGTAGGGGGAAGGTGGACACCAGGTCAAAAGGCCTTCAGAGTCTCCAGGCCACTGCAGCAGGACGTCATAGCTGCCAGGGCTCCTCACAGCTGCCCATGGGCCCACCCAGGAGACGTCCCTGGTGGTGACCGAGGGCCACAGGTGCTAAGCAGGAGCTGAGAAGCTAGGTGTGTCCAGGCCGCAGGACGGGGAAAGGAGAGGCAGGGGGTGGCCCACGGTGCCGGGTCACTCCCTGACCCCCACCCCAGCTTCTCTCCCCGCAGGGCTCAGTCTGAGACCCAGCGGTCCCCTGCCCAGCTGGCCTGGCTCTGTGCGGTCTCCACGCTGCACAGTGGGACATCTGCTGGGCCTTTCCCAAAGAAAGGGAAGGCTTGGCCACCCCACCCCAAGTTTCTCTTACTTGGCCTTGAACAGTGCATCGAGTCTGTAGCTGTGACAGCCGTTTAGCAGGGACAGGGAACAAGCATGAGACCCGAAAGCCAGCAAGCTCAACCCCCCTCGCAGGGCCCAGGTCCGGGGTGGACGGGACAGAAACGCTGGTGTGGTCCCTGTGGTCTAGAGCATTCCATTCACCATCTCCTACAACGAAGCCTTGTCCAGCTCCATCTACCCCCGGGGGAAACTGAGGCACCCTGTGGCTTGGCCACGAAGCATCCCCAACCTCACGTCCCAGGGCCCGGCAAAAAAGGCTCAGCTGGGCACGTGGCCTCCGTGTCCCCTGTCCCCTCAGCAAGTGACCAAAGTCTCCCCGTGCTTCCTCTCGCCCCTGTGCACACTGCCCCGAAAGGCCCAGACTAGGCAGAAAGTTCACGAGCAAACCTCAGGCCAGGGACACTGCCTGGCCCTCTGGCCCTCTGTGGCAGAGCGCTCGCCTGGCACCTGGGAGGCCCTGGGCTCGATCCTCAGCACCGCATATGAACAAATAAATAAATAAAGTAAAAGGCCCATTGACCATTAGAAACAAAAACAAAAAAGCTGCTCTCAGTCAAATTGTCCCTGCTCAGGGGCAACATAGGCCCTGGGGCTCGGTGGCCTAGAAGGCTGGGAGTCCTTCCCCTCGATCCACCACCCGGTGCCACAGAGCTGAGCAAAGCCAGCGGCTGGGGGGACAGGGAGCTGCTCAGGCTCTGGTGTGGCCCAAGGGGAAGGGTCAGAGCGGCCACCAGCGACTGAGCACCTCCAAGAAGAGAGGCCAGTGCCGGGAGCCCCGCCCTGCCCAGAGCTGCCCTCCAGCCACCCCCGGAGCCTCGGAAGGACTTTCTGTCTCTGAATTTGAAATGGCAGGTATTGTCTGGCTTCTCACACAGCATGTCAGAGGCTCCCGGGCCTGTAGTGTGTGAATCAGAGAACTTTGCTCCTTTATGGTTGGATTATACTCCACTGTCTACACACCTGCCCTCTGTTTATCCATCCACCTGTGACTGAACTCTTAGGCTGTCTCCATGTTTGGGGTCTTCTGAATGGTGCTGTTGTGAACACTCGTGTTCAAGAATCTGTTTGAATCTTTGTTTTCAATTTTTTTGGGTCTCTATCTCCCCAAATGACATGGTCCTAGGGCATGACATGGTCCTGTGGAAATTCTATGCTTTTCTCTTTGAGGAACTGCCAACCTGGTCCACGGTGGCTGTCCCACTTTCAACCTCCACCGCCAACGTGCGGGAGCTCCAATATCCTCACGTCCTCCCCAACGGTTGTGATCTCCATTTTTTAGACAATGGCCACCCTAATGAGTGTGAAATGCTGTCTTGTGGTGGTTTAGATTTGCATTTGTCTACTGGTGGTACTTAAATAAGAATAGATAGCCTAGCACAGTAGTGCACCCCTGTAATCCCAGCATTTGGGAGGCTGAGGTAGGAGGATCATGAGTTTAAAGCCAGCCTCAGCAATGGCGAGGCCCTAAGCAACACATTACCATGTTGTTTTGGTCATACTAACTCCGACAAGCCTTTTTTTTTTTTTCCTTCTTTGTAGGGGCTCAAACCCAGGTCCTCGCTCGTGCTATGTAAGAACAGCGCCCCTAGCTCTGTACTAAGTCTTGAAATTAGCAAATGTGAGCTGCCCAACTTTGTTGTTCTTCTTCTCCTTCTTTTAAAGATTGTCTTGGCTCCTCTAAATTCCATATGGATTTTAGGATGAGTTCTTCCGTTTCTGTAAAAAATACCATTGGAATTTTGTTAGGAATACATTGCATCTGTGAGTTGCTTGCTTGGGTAGCATTTTTATCTTAGTGATATTAAAGCTTCTCCACCAGGGGAACAACATTCCATTTCTTTTGGAGGACCTCTAGATTATGTCTTGGAAGGCAGTCTTTTTCTTTTTCTTTTTTGTACCAGGGATTGAACCCAGGGGCACTTAACCACGGAGCCACATCCCTAGCCCTTAAAAAAAAATATTAAAGACAGGGTCTCACTGAGTTGCTTAGGGCCTTCTAAGTTGCTGAGGCTGGCTTTGAACTTGCGATCCTCCTGCCCCAGCCTCCCGAGCCTCTGGGATGACAGGCATGCGCCAGCGCACCTTGCTTGGAAGGCAATTGTTAAAAACGGGAATGTCTTCAGAAGTCCTAGGCAGGAATCACAGTGGTCACATTGAAAGACCGGCTTCCTGAATAGAGAGCGCAGAATGGCTTCAGAAAAACCTGGGTTAACTCAGCCGTCTGTCCAAGGCCTCTAGTCTGTGGGAGCCAAAATAAAGGGGGAAAATAAAAGACAAAGAAGAAAGTGGCTTCTGAGCCGTTGTCCCCTGTGCCTCTCCACCCTGGTGAGGTGCAGACGTGCAGTACGCAGAAGCAAGAGGTTGTTGACGATCAGGATCACGGCTCAGGCCTCCCCGCGGCTGACCACTTCCCAGGACCCTGCTTCCTGCTCTCGCTGCTGTAATTCCCTCCAGGGCCACGAGATGGCAGCAAGCGCGGGCCGCAGACGGCCAGGGTCCGGCTCGCGAAGCAGAGAAGCGGGCGGCGGCGGGGACGCGAGGAGAAGCCGTGGGACGGAGGGCGGGTGTGCGCGGGACCTGGATTTGCACCCGCAGCGGCCCTGGAGCCGTGACACGGGCACGCCTGGAGGAAGAGCGTTCGCGATGCCGAGAGCCAGCGCTTTCCTTCACCAGCGGGAAGCGGGAAGCAGGAGGGACCGGCAGCGCGGGCGGGCGGGGGCTGCGGATGGACAGCGGTGGCCCAGAGGGGTCTCGGCAGCTGCCTCATCCCGTCAGAGGGAACCCCCCGGATTCTAGAGACGCCCCACACAGGACGCACTGAATGCTCCACGGGCAGAGCCTGGCTCTCGGCGCGTGTGTGACCCCCACCCAGCGAAGTCCCCTGTGCCAGGACACAGTGGGCTGAGGGGGGGGAGGGGAATGGGGTCAGAAGTGAGGCCCAGGTGGCTGGACTGGGAAGCCCCGGTGCAAGTCCCAGCCCCGCCACCTCCTTGCTGGTTGACCTTGATCTTGGGCAATGACTTCACGTCTCCGGGCCTCGGCTTACTGTGGAGTGAGGCTGGGATCGGGTGGTGGTCACTCTTCGCTCCTTCTGGAAGCCGCGGCTTTGTAGACTGGGACATTGGTGATGAGAGGTCAGAGGGTGCTCTGTCAGCCACCGGGAGAACAGAGGGGCACTCGCAGGATCCGGGGGAGCCTCAAGGTGCACACGCCCAGGTGTGCTAGATAAGCCCGTCTTCCTCTTCTTCTAAAAAATCTAGTTTGTTTTCAGCTTCCTATTGATTTAGGGTAAAAAAGTCCACCTTGGTTATTCTGTGGGATTTCTTCTTCTATTATTATTATTATTATTATTATTATTATTGTGGGTTTGGAACCCAGGGCCTCCTGCATGCTCAGCACACAGCTCTGAGCTACATCCCTGACTCCTTCCCCCCACAGCACTTGGTGATCTTGGAACTTGGAGACCACTGAAATGTCCACTTTACTCACGTGGCCCTCGGTGACCCTTCAGGGGCTTCTCAGCGTTTCTTTTTGCCTCCTGGGACATGGGCCAGGTTGGGCCCTTGTTTAGGGCAAGTTTTGGCAATCACCCCTTCCATGGGGCTGCCTTAGAGTCCTGGTCCCATTTTATCTCAGCAGGTGGGGATGGCCGATCCCCCTACTTCACATCAGTGGCTCTGGAAGCTCACCCACATTTTCCCAGCCATTTGTTCTGTGTCTGTCTTGAGATTCTGTAAAAACAAAACAAAACAAAACAAAAACACCTATGTTCTATGTTGGGCAAAAGGGGAAATTAGAAGAAAGTGTGTGTGTGTGGGGAGACTCCTTAAATCACTATTTGAAATACAGTAATAGACTTTTGGGACTGGAGAAAGGTTGGGAGTCTTATTCAAGCTACTGGTTGATAGTTAGGGAAGCTGAGCTCCTGCAAACAAACCCTTGGAAACCCAGGACTAGTTCCCAGGCCTGGAGCCTCTCGGGCTGTCCATCTCTGTGCTGTTCTAGGCTGCCGTGGGAAATCACGTGCCTGATAGATGATCCCCAAATGTACCAGCTTGAAGTGACACTTAGGATCTCATGGTGTTATGGTTTGGATGTGAGGTGTCCCCCAGAGCTCAAGTGTGAGACACTGAGAGAAGGTTTAGATTGGGTCGTGGCTTCACTTACTCAGCAGATTAGTCCCTGATGGCATTGACGGAGTGGCAACTAGAGGTGGTGGGCTGAGGCTGGAGGAAGGGGTTCGTGGGGCGCGTGGCTGTGGGGTGTATATTTTGTATCTGGAGCGTGGAGTCCCTCTCTGCTTCCTGATCACCATGTAGCGGCTTCCCTCTGCCACACTCTTCCGCGGTGATGTCCTGCCTCCCCTTGAGCCCTGAGAAATGGAGCCGGCCTTCTGTGGACTGAGACCTCTGAAACCATGAACTCTCAAATCCACGCTTCCTCCTCTACAATCGTTGTGGTCAGGTCTTTTAGTCCAGCACTGAGAAGCTGGCTGACACACAAGTTTCTGTAGACTGGGTATTGGGCACCACCCCCTGGATTCCTGCCCTAGGACCTTTCTAGGTCACCATCAAGGTACCCGTGGGGGCTGCTGTCATCCGAAAGCTGGTCTAAGGCTGTGGGCAAGTTCTCAGGACCTCCCCTGGGGACCATCACCCCATCCCAGTTGCCTAGATTATTCTTCAGGAGCAAAGTCACCAGGCACAACTTGGAGAGAGGATGGGGATGTGACTGCCAGGAGGCGGCTCATGGGGCCATTTTGGAAGTGACCAACCTCCATTACTATAAAGAGCCAACTGTCGTCTGTTCTCAAAACTTAATAACGTCCTTGGACAACGGCTCAAATGAAGATTCCTGGACTCTCCTCCCAGGGCTTCTATTAGGTAAGTCTGGGACAGGGGCCAGAAATCTGTGTCTTTCATAAGAACACCAGGTTCTGATTCAGGAGGCCCCGGTGTGTTGCGGGAGTTCTGTGTGGATGCTCTCCTGTGCTGGACGGGCAGGGCTCTGGGGCCTGCATGCCTACAGCCCAGAAATCATGTGTGAAAATCTCAGCCCTCTGGGGCCTTTGGCGGGATTGTGATCACTGGCCTCTACTCCACTGTGGGGGAATGAAGACTGGTTTAACTCTTTAGGAGGACATTTTGCAATAGGGGACAAAATTTCATAGGCATTCACGTTTTTGACTCTTTTTAGGAACTTGTGCTGCCTTCTCTCCCACAATGTAAGATCAAGACGCCTACAGACAGGGTGTGCACTGAGGGCCGCTAACTCCTTTCCTGAGGGCTCCACCCCCAATGAGAAATCTTTTCAGATATACAAGGGATATTATGTTGTACATATAGATATACATACATACATTTTTTTTGGGGGGGGGGAAATACATAAAGTTGTCTGTCCATATATCTTGCTTTCTCTCTCTTTTTTGTACCAGGGATTGAACCCAGGGTGCTCTACCACAGAGCCACACCCCCAGCCCTTTTCATTTTTTAACTTTGAGACAGAGTCTTACTCAATTGCTTAGGGCCTTGCTAAGTTGCTGAAACTGGCCTCAAACTTGTGATCCTCCTGCCTCAGCCTCCCAAGTCACTGATTTCTCCTGGTTTTTAAGAGCTCTTACAAATACACACACTAGGAATATTAACCCTTTACCTGTGATCTCTACCGCAAACATTTTCTCTCCATTTGCAAATCGTCTTTTGTTTGTGGTCTTTTTTTTTTTGGACACCCAATCGTTTGGATTTCTGTGCAGTCAATTTCTCAGTGCTTACTTTTCTTGCATCTGGATTGTGAGTTGCAGTTAGAAAGTCTTTCTCGACTTCCACGTTAGGAAAGGAATTCACCTGTTTTTTTGATACTTTACGGTTTCATTTCTTGCACATATTTTGGGATGCAGTGAGAGTTGATTGTTAGATGTGCAATATAGGCATCTAGTTTTCTCTTCTTCTAATGTGTCGCCAATGATCTAAAAACAGTTCCTCGGAGCCCATCATTCTTAATAATTTTCTGATTTCTGAAGTTATCGTTGGTAAAGTCCCATGGGTGCTCCGTCTGTCCCTGGGATTTCGATCCCACCGGTCTTCCTATCTCTTTGTGTACCAGTAGTGCACTATTTTAATTTATAGGGTTTTTTTTTTGTTGTTGTTGTTTTTACTGTTTTCCTGCTTATTCTTGAAAGTTTATTTTTCTACACAAAATTTAGTATAGCTTGTCTACGGGGCATGTTGCCATTTTTTAAAAAACTCGGATTGCTTTAAATTTATACCTTGTTCAAGGGAAAAGAGACATTGCTATGGTGCTGGGTTGCCCCATACAAGATCCAAGCGTGTTTTCCTGTACCTTCAACTGTGCTTGCCGTTCAGGAATGTTCTAGAAGTGTTCCTCCAGTAGGTTTTACAACTTTTTTGTTATGTGGATCCCCAAGTATTTCAGCTTAGTTACTATCATAAGTGGGTTTCCCTACCTTTCTATCTTCTCGCTGGTTATTTGTGCACGTGAAGGCACTTGGCTTCCGCCATGTTATTTCTATATCTCGCTATTTCATCAAAGCATTTTATTGTTTCAATTTTATTGCTGATGATTTTGTTTTACAGACACACGATCACATTGCTTACAAATGGAGATAACTTCTTTCCAGTTTTTTTTCTCCCTCCAATAGACGGTATCTGATGGCTTGGGGTGAAGCCCTCCCCACAGTCCCGGGGTGGAGATGGACTGTACTCCCCGCATCCATATGCTGGAGGCCTGACCCCCAGGCCTTCAGAATGTGGTCTTATTTGGAAATGGAGTCGCTGCAGATGTAATTGATTAAGACAGGGTCATATTGGAGATGCTATTTTCTGTCTCTCTCTCTCTCTCTCTCTCTCGTACCAGGGACTAAACCCAGGGATGCTTTACCATTGAGCCACATCTCCTGTCCTTTTTATTTTTCATTTTGAGACAGGGTCTCACTAAGGGGGGCTGGCCTTAAACTTCCCATCCTCCTGCCTCAGCCTCCTGAGTTGCTGGGCTTATAGTTGTGCGCCACCGACCTGGCAGTTCAACCCTTAAGATATTAAAACTTTCTTCTGTCTTAATAGTTATTTCTTTCTTGTCCCTTCTTATTCTGCGTTTCTTGGTGTGTGTCTTCTGTCTTTTTTCTTATTACATTAGCTGGTGTTCTGCCTACTTGATGATTTTTTTAAGCAGGGTTTTGATTTATAAATTAGATGTACTGCTTTCTATTCTCTACCTCATCAATGTTTGCTTTTAACTTCATTATTTCCTTCTTCAGCCTCTGTTTTAGAATTTCTTGTCCTTTTCCCTGGCACTCTGAGCTGGGAAATTTTCCCTAATCGATTATCATCCTCTATTCTATGGATGAAAGCGTTGAAGGCTTAGGTATTTCCCTCTAATCACTGCGATAAGTGTGTCCCCAGATTGGCAGTATTTGAATTTTTATTATTCTTTAGAAATTCTGCAATTTCATTTTACGGTTTCTCCTTTATCTGAGAGTTGTTTAATAAAAAGTTCAAGCATTTCTAGCTGCAGATACCTTTTATAAAATTTCTTAATACTTTCTCCTTTTACTGAATTAAGACATGAGGATGTCATTTGTTATTTGTGTGTGTGTGTTGGTGGGCCTTTGATGAGTTCTAGTGATTTTTCCAGGTTTTCTTGAAAAGGTGTGTCCACTACCTGGGCTAGAGTCCAGCCTGCCTCTCTACGGTTCCCCGTGGACACATTGTTCAGATCTTTCACTTGCGCGTTTTCTCTGGCTCCTTGGACCTCCTTGTCCTGAGGGTGGGCTCTTGAACCCTCCTGTGCTTGTGGCGGTTTCTGTGTCTCCACGCATCTCAGGGCTTTGCTTTATGAGTCTGTGGCTGTTGCTATGGTGAACAGCTTCTCAGAGTGGTGACTATAGTGTGGCCAATCCCTTCGAGGAAACAGCTAAGAACTGGTTTGTCCAACAGAGTCACATGTCAAAAGCTTGGCCCCGTGGATGCCTTTAAAAAAATTCATGCTATGGTTTATGGTTCACGGTCACCGAGTCTCTCCCTTTGCCTGATTCATTCATCTCTCCCCTCTCAGCACCCGACATAGCCCAGGAAACACCAGATTCTCTCCTCAGCCAGTGTAGACAGGCTCGGCTGCTCCGACTGGCCCCTCTGGAAGGTGCACTGGGGTCTAGGTGGGCGGGAGCCAGCCAGGATGTAAGGTGAAAATCCTGGAGCTGCCTCTCCAACCGCCCCACCCTCTGCCCTTTCCTAGCTGACATCACCCAAAATGTCACTCAAAACTCACGGAGCTGTAACTGTAGCTTTTTCAAACATTCTGAAATCGCAGTCCTTGGGCATTCCTAAAATATATATATATATATAAATAAGTAAAGATCTGGGGTGGAGCTCAGGGCTGGGGTGCTCGCCTCGTGTGGGCAAGGGCCTGGCTGCATCCCTAGTACCTAAGAAGAAAACACGGGCGCACACACACACACACACACACATACACACATCTCCACACCTAGCCTTTCACTGACTTGGGCAGGCAGACTTTTGGAGATCGAGGAGAGGTATGGTTTGTGCATCTGGCTCCAGGTTCAGAGGGTTTGAGCCCCGCGGCCCGGGTCTCCTCCCCTTGGCCCAGGCCAGCCTCGCTGGGTGACGGGCCTGGGATCTCGCTGTGATGAGAGACGGGCGCCTCCCCAGCTCCTCCTGCTTCACTCTGCTCCACGTGGCCCCCCAGTGCCCTCCTCCCTTGGGCTGCGTTCTCATGACCTCCTCTTACGGCGCAGGCACAGCCATGTGTCACTTAACAATGGTGATCTGTTCTGAAAACTGTGTCGATGGGGGGGGCTCCTCATCCTGTGAACCTCCCGGAGGGCACTGACTCAACCCCAGAGGGCGGAGGACACTGGTCTCTTGAGGGATAGAGGGATGTGGCTGACACGGATGGCCCAGGCAGCGACCGGCTGACACGGCCGACTCTTTGGTCATTTTTCCTGCAGGGCTGGGGCTGGGGGGCGGGAAGCCAGGGCCTCATGCATGCTGGACGCCGGCCCTGCCCCTGGGCTCCACCCCTGCTGTCCTTTTTTTAATAAGCAGCAGCATGTCCTCATATGAGGATGAGAGCCTGGTACAGGGAATACTCAAACCAGTGACATCACCATTTATCGTCACCATCAGGTATCATGTGCCACACGTGATTGTAGGTGCCTGACTGGCCTTGCGGGAGGTCAGTTCCCACCAGCGTCACCATGAGTGCGTGTGTAAAGCTCTGCACTAGCACATCGTGAGAGCTGCGATGTCACTAGATAGCGAGGGGTTTCCAGCCTCATGACGAGACCACCCTCAGATATGTGGTCTTTTGTGGAAAAAATGACCGTCATCGAGGTACAACCTGCATCCCACACGATGCCTGAGTCCTAAGTGTGTTTGGATGAACTTAGATGAATGAACGCGCCCACGTCCCCAGCATCCCGATCAAGAGGTCATTCCGTCCCCCCAGGAACTTCTCCGTGTCCTTTCTAGCCGGCCTCCCTGACCACGGCCAGCCTTGACCGTCCATCCATCACCGAGTTCTGCCTCAGACACGCGTCTTGCTTTTTCTTGAACCTCAGGACGTGGAGTCACGCGGGCGCCCCCTGGAACCCCTGGAACATGGTTTCACCCTACAGCAGCCGCCGTGCCGCTAGCTGTGTCCCTCCTGCTGGGCCCGGTGCCATCCTGTCATGTGTGTGTGTGTGTGTGTGTGACAATACGGTTCGTCCCCTTTCTGATGCTGAGACCTGCAGCTTCTTTCTGCTCCTGGGCTATTATGAAGTAGGTCCAGGAGGAGGGTAGAATGACTCTTGGGTGGGTTATGTGTCCCCCGGGCATGAGCCTCAGGAACGGGTCTTACCCAGGGACGCTGGGGCGTGGGACCGGAGCTCTGGGAGGAGAAGGTAAAGGCCCAGGGAAGCAGATGGGAGCAAGGGAACCGGTAGCCACGGAAGGTGGGCAGCTGCCAGAAGCCAGAGGAGGCGTGGGATGGATTTTCTCTTTGTAGCTTCCAGAAGGTCCATGTCTGGTGAGCCTTGCTTGTAGACCAGTGAGGCTTGGTTTAGATTTCTGACCTCCAGGACTATAATAGGGCATTTTTTTTTGTTGTTAACCCACTAAGTCTGTGGTCATGTGTTACAGTCCCAGAAGAGATGAGTATGGGGCTGGAATTTCAGGTGCCTCTGGGTGTCGCGGCCTGGGGGCAGGCTGCAAGCACACGGTCCCTCTGCTCTGCCAGCTGCCATCCACAGGAGAGTGTCAGGAATGTGGGGCGTCAGCATTTAGAGACTGACATGAATCGGTAGGAGTTGCGTGGTGTCCTTTTGTCTCTTTTGCAGATTCGAGTCTCCAGTTTGCAAGAGGAAAGCCGCCCAGTGCGGGGAGGGCAGAGCAGGAGGGACAATGGACTTTTCTTTGCTCATTTCCTGTCGGTATTTTGACAAAGCAGAGATGAAGACATGTCCTCTCTCCTAATTCACCAGGAAGCTACGAGCTGCAACTGGGTGTGACTATTCCTGTTCCAGGGACAAGGACGGGGATGTGGGTGTCAGCTGTGCCCCCAGAGCCCCACATTGCTGGAGCGTTGGGAGTACAGTGGCTTCAGGGTGCTTGGCACTGGGACTGTGGAATGGGCAGGTCTGAACCTGGCTGCCCTTTTTCTCGCCTCCCTTTTCAGGACCTACAGACCGCGTGGCTTGGGAGGAATAAGAGTAGAGAGAAGCAGGAAGTTCTTGGTGCTTGGAGGTCTTCGGAGAGAGCCGGGTGCAGGTCAGGAGCCATCAAGGATTGACGAGACCAGGCTCAGTCATTGGTCCTGTGCGTCTGTTTACATCCACATTCTGGGTTCTCCCTCCAGTGCCAGGGATGAATGCCAACCATCTGCAAGTGCCCCACCCCGTGGTGAACTGAGTAACAGTCCCCATCCTTCACCAAGATGTCCATGTCCTGATCAGCGGAACCTGGGACAGTGGGGGTGGGTCTGGTCTAAAGGGTTTGAGGTGATAAGCTTTGGTGGGGCTGAGGTCATCCCAGCAGCCCTCCTGAGAGGAGGCAGGAGAAACGCATCCCTAGTCCATGGAACCAAAGAGGTGGAGGGATGCCAGGGGCCGGGCAGCTTCTGATACTGTCCCCAGAAGGAACCAGCCCCCCAACACCTTGACTTTAGCCTGGAGACTGTTTTTGGACTTTGGATCTCTAGAACCTTGTGCCATATAAAGTGACGCATGCAGACCAGGGACACCTTAGGGGGCCATTATCCTGCCTTCTGCAGCCAGAGACTTGGGTTCAATCCTGGCTCTGATCCTGAGGGACTTGTGTCTTTGCCCGAGTCCCCTCTCTCTGGGTCTCAGCTTCCTTTTACCTGGACAATTCAGAGTGTGTCAGGAGTGAGCGAGAGAGAGAGAGAGCTGGTGCATCTTTAGCAGGAGAACAGATTTTCTCATCCCACACTCAGATGGCTTATTTTTTTCTTACAACCGATTTTTGGCCTTCCTCACGATGAATTTCCATCCCTGGGGAATCAGAAGAGAGAAAAGAAAATTAGCCCCAGTGTTCCTGAGGACGGTCCAGATGAGGCTTCAGAGAGGAACCCCCGACCCGCAAGACGTCAGGGGCTTCACTCAACAAAAGGGCCGCTTCTCACTTAGGCCAATAGGGCTCAGGTCAGGACAAACCTCTCCATTTCTTGGAACCCATGAGTGGCAGGTCTCTGTGGCAGAGAAGATGGCGGGGAGATAGGCCAGCTCAGCCTATCTGCTCAGCCTGCAAGTCCGAGGCCAGTTCTGCTCACAGTTCATTGCTCAGAACCAGTCGCACTGAGATGGGTGGGCTCCCAGAGAAAGAAGAAGGGACCCCTTGGGCCGGGATCTACAGGCATGAGTGACCCGTCTCGCTTGTTCCTTTAGATGGAATGAAGAAACCCCCACAGTGTGCTGGCATCAGATCAACTGGAACAAAACCACAATTAATTTAAACATCACCATATTCCAAGGCTCACCCAATGTGTCCACTAATGATTCCCGGGTAGGATGGTCGACCCAAGGGGAGCATTCCCAATGATTGTCAGGGGACTTGATTTCCAAAGAGGCTTGCCTGAGGACCCACACATTTCTTCCCAGGAAAATCACATATAAAGTCGTGAACTTGACCCTGGGCCCATCATTTGTCTTCTCCCCTAGTCCACCTCTGGGCTGTCTGGCTGTTGCTTATGCCTTGCTTTTGACGCATCTAGAAATTCTTTTCACTATCAGAAGTGAAGAACCCTCGTGGGCGGAGGTGACGTCTCTATCTGCTCTTTGGCAGGGCCTCTTGGGACCCTTGTCCCAGGACCACATGATCCACCGGGTGACTGGAAGGCAGGCTGAGGAGACATGGCTGACTTCCTGTCTGCCCAGGAAGAGGAAACGGGGTGGGGAGAAGGTGGAGATGCTGCCCAGTTTCTGGTCTGAAACACAGGTTAAGTATTTCCTTGAAATAAGTTCTCTGGGCTTCCTTCTGACTTTGAGTTTTTAGTCATCTATTTTCCTCTCTCTGGATGTGTGGGAGGGGTGCACTTTTATAGATGACTCCCATTTTCTTTCCTCTTTTGAATGTATACTTAAAAAATAAAAAAGAGCTCCAATTAGCAGAGAAGGAGTGCTGTGGAGTCTTCCCTTGGAATGGAAACCCCGCCTCAAATGGAGATTCTCAGTTGGCTTCCAAGGGGAAGAAATGTTTCTAAAAAACTTCTAGCCTTGGGGAAAAAAAACAGAATAAATATGTTGCTTAGCCTGTGGTCATGGGAAATTAAAAGTTAGAAAGTTAAAACACACAACTAGGTGTGGTGGCGCATGCCCGTAATCCCAGCAACTCGGGAGGCTGAGGCAGGAGGATCTCAAGTTCAAAGCCAGCCTCAGCAATTTAGTGAGGCCCTAAGCAACTCAGCGAGACCCTGTCTCTGAATAAAATATAAAAAAGGGCTGGGGATGTGGCTCAGTGGTTGAGTGCCCCTGGGTTCAATCCCCAATACCAAAAACAAAATAAAACAACATTTAAAACACTGATAAACAGCGACACTTCAGTTCAATTCTTTCATGATCATTGCATTTTTTTGGTGTGTGTACTTCAGAATGATGGATTGTTCTGGAAATGATAAGAAACAGGTGGCTTTTAAGCTTCTTAGGCTCAGCCAGGTGAGAGTCCTACATGAGTTTAGCAGTCTCAGAAAGAAATGGGTGATCATTTTGCTTCTTGCATTAGTTTCCTGTTGTTGCAATAACAATTAAAAGGCACATATTTGTTATCTCAGAGCCTGCAGGCAAGGAGTCTGAAATGTGTCTCAGTGGGTTCAAATCAAGGAGCTGGGGGGCTGCGTTCCTCTCTGGAGGTCCCAGAAGAGGGTCTCTGCTCTTGCCTTTCCCCTTCCCAGATTCGCGGTCTCCTTCCTCTCCCAGCAGCAGCGGTGACTAGGATCTCCTGTCTCTTCTTCGGTGATCCTCTCTCACTCTGACTGGGAAAGAGTCCCTGTTTTAAGGGCTCATGTGTTTGGACGGGGCCCACCTGGATAAGCCCAGATGAGCTCCCCACCTCAAGGTCCACGGGGTTAATGGCATCTGCAAAGCCCTCTCCCTGTGTGGGGTGGCGTGCTTACGGCCCCAGGGGCAAGGCTGTGGACATGTTTGTGGGGGTGTCACTCGGCCTGACTCCGTGCTTTCCCAGGCTTTCTGGGGATTTAGCAGTATTTTCTCCCCCACCCTCAGCAGGGGCTTGGCCCAGCTCAGGTGGTCCCAGCTGTCCATGGAGTCCTCCATGATTCTGACATCACTCTGGCCGCAGCCTTCAAAAAGCCTGTCGACCTGCTCTCCACCTTGGGGACCGTCCCCCCCAGTCAGGGTTTCTCCTGAGGGCTGAAGAGGGACCCTCTGTGCTGCCCGCGTCCTCCTCTCCTTGCTGGAACCCTGCACAGCTGAGCCTTTGTCCTCTTCTGGTGCTTACTCCCCGCCCTGCGAGGGTGACCCCACGTTCTGGCCCCTTTGGGAATAGGGGACATTCCCTGGGTGCCTCGCAGCCCAGGGAAGTGCCACACCAGGGCTCTGGTCACCATCCCAGCTGGGTGGAGCTGCCGGGCTGCTCACGCTCTCATCCAAGCCGGATTCCTCCTTCGAGGTCTACACCCCACTCCAGGGGACCTGGCCCAACTCACACAGGGCGGTGCCAGGGAAGAGCTTCCCGTGCCTCTCCCTGTCCAGGGCTCTCCTGGACTCTGATGACCATGAATGACGGATAAATGGTAAGGCCTTTCCCGCCCAGATTTGAACCACCCTCAGTGGAAATGCACCAAAGCCCTCGCTATTCAGGCTCCTAACGATTCTTTTCTCCTTTTGTTTGAGGATTGGAAGCTGCGGACGCTTGATTACTGAGCTACAACTCCAGTCCTTTTTATTTTGAGACTGAGTTGCTGAGGCTGGCCTCCAACTTTGTGCTCCTCCTGCCTCAGCCTCCAGAGTCACTGGGATTACAGGCAAGTACCACCTGGCTCCCGGTGGTCCTTTTAACCACAAATCGTCCCCATTGGTGAGCTCATTCTTGGTCTGCTGCTCAAACTCTTCCAAATTCCTCTTGCCCCAAGGGCTGTGCTTCTCCTCTCTGCTTACTTTCCCTGATACCATTGGGACCGGGATGCTAGGGTAGCCAAGCATGAATCCTGGCCTTGGACCTTGACCTTTAGGTGTCCTTCATTGGATTCCTGCGACGATCCTGGCTCGTGTACCCTGGGGTTGGGAGCATGTCTACCCTTCCATGTTTCTGTCTGGGCTTCTCCCTGTTTTCTTCGTCTCTTTCTATGAAGTCTCTCTGGCCTGTGCATCTTCTCTGGAATCTGTTAAGTCAGTTCTTTTTGTGTCCTGGAGCCCATGATGGTGCCGAATTAAAAAAAAAAAATCAAGTTGGCAAGAACATTTACGGGACGGTCTGTGCCTCCGCCTAGAGGCACCACGCTGACCTCTGGGTACGCACCCCCAGGCCTGGGCACCCTGATCCCATGCTCTGCCTCTGATCTCCACCCTGCCTCCCCCTCTCCCTCCCACTGGTGCTGTGACTGCACTGTGGACCTGGGAGGTGATACTCCCATTGCGAGGTCCCGTAGCATCTCGTGTTGTGCCTTGGGGCTCTGCCTGAGCGTCTCATCCAAGGTCTCACTGGGACGGTGTTTCTGATTTTGCATCCTCTCTGCATATGTGAAAGAGAATTCTTCTGGGTAAAAGAATACAATTTCCTCATCAATATGGTTTCTTGTTTATCCCGAAATACAGATCGTACAAGAGAGGTCATTTGTTGACATCAGCTACTGATTTTTTTTTTTGAGAGAATTTTAATATATATATATATATATATATATATATATAATTTTTTTTTTTTTAGTTTTCGGCGGACACAACATCTTTGTTTGTATGTGGTGCTGAGGATCGAACCCGGGCCGCACGCATGCCAGGCGAGCGCGCTACTGCTTGAGCCATATCCCCAGCCCCAGCTACTGATTTTTTTTCTGCAAAAGGGTTGGTGCCCTCATTGCATCCTGCAAGGACCAAGGACTGCACGTTTGCCGGTCGCTGTGACGTCTAGCTTGGCTCCTAATGAATTCAACCCTCTACTGAGTGCAGCGAAGGCATTGGCATGAAAGTGGTGCATTCAGTGCTGATCCTCTGACACCCACAGACCATCTTGCAATTCAATTCAATTCAGACTCTAGCCTGGAGTGGGTGCAGCGGCCGCGGGTTAAGAACAAGGTCTCCAGCACGTCCAGCCTGACTTCAGACAGCAGCCCCGCATGGGCTCCCCGGGCTGCCCACACCTCTGCCTGACTTGGCTACAAACTTGGGGCTTTGACCCTGTTAGGTCTCATATGTCACTAGAATGACTCTCAGGACTCAGGAGAACACTTTGCTTGCAATCACCACTTTATGATAAAGAATATGAGTGAACAACCAGATAAAGAGAGACAGGGTACACTGAGCTCAGGAGCTCTGTCCCCTTGGTGTTGGGCATGCCACCCTCCTGAGACACTGTAGTCTTTGCCCACCAGGAAGCTCCAAAGCCTCATGACCTAGAAGTTTATATTGGACCCCACTGTTTGGGCAAGATTGGTTAGATCACCGACTGCACAACTGAGCTCAATCTCTAGTTCCCTCTGCTTCCTGAAGATCGGGGGTGTAGAAAGCTCCCACGCGGGAGGTCTTTCTGGCTTGAGAAGCCCCCCTCCACATGCTCTAAGTGCCCCTGGGGTCTCTGAGGCTCTTTCTCCTCCTTTCTTCTTGCAGTACTGGGAATTGAACCTGGGGATGCTCCATCACTGAGTTACACCTCCAGACCTTTTTATTTTGAGAAAGGATCTCACTAAGCTGCTAAGGCTGGCCTTGAATTTTGATCCTCCTGCCTTAGCCTCCCAAGTCACTGGGATCACAGGTGTGTGCCACTGCACCAGCTAGGAGTCACCTTCTTAGCTGAAATTCAGGGATGGTGGAGGGGGTTCGTTATGAATGCAAAAGACACTTTTGTCAGGAAATTCCTTGGTTTTGAAATTCTATGCCAGTCCCTGGGCACAAAGGCCGGGTGGGATGCTTTGTTGTCTCCTGGGTGGGTGGGAAGACAGGCAGTGGGTGGGGGGAGGAACAGCCCTGGGGAGCTGACCATGGCAGGACAGGGCTGGCGGGCAGCCGGCTGGGGGACACCACAGCAGTGGGGCAGGGAGGGTCTGTGCGTGGAGGGAAGGGGACAGACAGATGGTGGCTGAGCTGGGAGGTTGTGAGAACAGCTCAGAGTGAAGGGACCAAGGGCCAGGAGAAGAGCCTCACTCTGGGGGTGCAGCGAGGGTCCTTGAGGGGTGTAGAGAGGGCGGCTGAGGGCCGAGGCTTTTCAAGGTGGTCACCGGCCTCATGGGGTCCAACCAGGTGGGAGTCGGGAAAGGGCTCTGCAGCCTTGTTTTCAGGGGCTCCAAGACACCGGGGAGGAGAGGCGGGGCCCAGCAGGGTGGAGCGAGCCTGGGGGACCGGATTCTTTCAGAGCAATTTCCAGATGGCCTTAGAAGGTCTTCTAGCGCGTCACCTCTGGATGGAGTGGCTTCTGACCCAGACAGCAGGGTAGAGCCCAGCTCCGCAACTGCCCGGCGTCTGCACTGTCTGCAGGAGTGGACAGCGGAGGAGATGAGGGTCCTGTGCAGCGACGACCCCTGCTAAGGAGCCGAAGGGGAGGCTTGGGGACCGTATCTGGGGACGAGACTGTGGCCAGAGACACTCTTTTGGTGCTATCGGTTCTGGTAACAAGGGGAAGCAGGGGGATTGCTCTATAGCAGGGGTTCTCCCAGGGACAAATTCCCTCCCTGGAGGACAGGTGACAATGTCTTGTTCCACCTGGGTGGCAGCATCTGGGTAGAGAGCTGGGGTGCTGCTTAGCCCCTGAAATGAGACTCCCCTACCCCAAGGCCCAGGTGGAGAAGCCCTGCTGTAGAGAGGGATGCGGGCTGGGGAGGGTGGCCAAGGGTGCAGGCGGGAGGGCCCGAGGGTAGATCAGGGTGGCAGGAAGCCCCCACTCTTGGGTGACCGACCCAACCCACAGCCATGGTCATCTTCACCCTGGTTCTCTGTAGCCACGAGACCATTGTGATCCTCCTGCCTCAGCCTCCCGAGTGGCTGGGATCACAGGTGTGTGCCACTGTCCCCAGCCAAATCCCAGTGCTCACCACCCCTGGTTATCTTTCCCCTTTTAGTTCTTCCCTCCTAGTAGGGGGACCTGCTGTCTGTGGACACGCGGGGCCGCGACTCCAGAAACCCACTAAACAAGGTGGAGCCAGAAGCCACAAAGAGCTGCGCTTCCGTGGGGGACATGTGACCATGTCTGCAGACTTGGTTGGCTAGGGAGGTGGGTGCTTCTGGCACCTGCTGGGTAGAGACCAGGGTGCTGCTCAGACTCTTGATCCTGCTCCTCCGCCCCACCAGCAGAGGGCACCCCAGCCCTGACGTCAGCGGTGCTGAGGCCGAGGGAACCACACAGGGAAGGGCTCCAGAGCTGTTCTGGAGCCCTGGTGGCCTCTTGCTTGCCAAGATGTGCAGTGGTTACTGGTGATGGGGTGGGGAAGGGGACATGGCTGCTTTAGCTCACAGAGAAGTTCCTTGACTCGAGCCTGACATGGGATCGTCCCGGGGGGCCACTTCCTTCAGATCACCCTTACTGGCACATTCCACAGCTGCACGGGGTTTCCGGCCCCATCTCTCATGCAGAGAGAGGACAGCCACTGCCTGGCTTCTTTGGCTAGGAGATGCCAGCACCAGCGGTCCCCACCTCCTACGTCACCCGTGGGGTCTGCTGGGTCCAAGATCACAGGCCTGTAGGAGGGTGAGAAGGTGTGAGAAGCTGGTTAATTCCTAGAGGATTTCTTTCCAAACTGGTGACTTCAGAATTTGAGGCCCCGTCCTACTTACAGCAATTTTTTTTTTATACCAGGGATGGAACCCAGGGGCACTTGACCCCTGAGCCCCATCCCCAGCCCTATTTTGTATTTTATTTAGAGGGAGGGTCTCACTGAGTTGCTTAGGGCCTCTCTAAATTTCTGAGGCCGGCTTGGAACTTGAGATCCTCCTGCCTCAGCCTCCCTAGCAGCTGGGATCACAGGATCTGCTAGATGTTTTGGAAGCTGTTACTCTACACAGAGAGCACAGTGCCACTCTATGTCACTGTCCCCTCTAGGCCGAGTCCTCATTTAACCAAATACAATGTTGTGGAGCAGGTCCCCCTGCCCCCCAGCCCACCCGGCTTCCCCTTTCCTCTGTTCTCTCTTTCTTTTCTCATCCTGTTCCTCCTGCCTCTGGTGTTCTGTCCCCGCTGCTGAGGACACGTGCTGAGATTCCTTGTCTATTCTTGAAGGTCGGAAAGGGCAGATTAAACTTGACCTAGTACAAACCCCCAATAACAAATTGACCTGTGGAGGACAGCGTCCTTTCTGGGGACACTCTTCCAACGCCATCCTCTCAGACCTGCTGACAAACCCAGGTGGATAAGAGCCCTGCCCCTCTTCCTCCGGGGCAGCACTTCCTTCCGCCCCTAGGACTTTATCCCTGGGGACTGGGTGGCCGTGCTGTCAGCACCTCGCTGCTCAGGGTCACATGTGGAATGACTTAGGGTCCAGGGGGAGGAAGAGGATGCAAGAGCATCAGAGGGAACCAGTCAATCAAGAATAGAGGGGCACCTGGTTTTCTGGATCTGGGTCAGAAGGAATGTGCGCATCGTCTCGTCCTCGAAGTTGTAGTTGACATTCCAAAAGATGCAGAGCTGCTGGTACTTTGTGACCAGATCCAGGACTGTCCGGAAGCCTTCAGCGGTGTCAAAACTCTCCGACCCGCTGCCCTGCTCCCAGGCGTAGACGGTGAGCAGCTCCAGGGCGTACTTCGGGGGCAGAGACCCCTTGGATTTCAGTTTTCTTTCACACTGAGGGACAGGGAGGGACATCAGATGACCTTGGTAAGAACGCGCCCCAGGAGCTCTTCGAGGGTCCCATGGACGGCTGGGCCACGGAGGAGCGACGGAGTCACCATGACGCTGGTGGCAGGTGCTCTGCCCCGTGGAGGTCTAAATACTGTCCAGCAGCTGGGGCTCTTGGGACAGTCACACAGCCGTGGCCAGAACCCCACCAGGGGCTAACCATGGGCTGGGGCATGTTACTCGCATCATCCCCAATCTCACCAAAGCTGGGCACCATGATGTCCACTTCAGATGAAATCAGAAGGCGGGGTCAAGGGGAAGGACACTGCTCCAGGTCACACCAGAGCCCTCTGAACCGCCACACCCACCACCTTTGATTGTCTGGGACAAAGACCGCAGAGTCCAGTGTTCAGGCCGTAGGGGCCACAGCAGCAAGGGGCAGCTCCCGGAGCCGGGGTCGCGCGTTGGACGTTTGCCATCATGAAAACACTCGGAAAGGACCTTGTGTGCGGGACCGTGGAATCGAGCACAGAGGGGCTGCCCAGTACAGAAAGCGCAGCCAGCCTCCTCCCCTGCGGCTGCAGGCTGCCTGCCAGGAGGTGCCCGTGTCTACCCCCTGTGGAAACCGACCAGCAGAGAAGCCACCCTGGCACCTGCCAACCCGCGGGCCTGTCACTCCTAACTCCTGTCCTCCCTTGGTGGCTTGGATTCCTGCTGAATTCTTTGGCTAATTGATGGCAGGAGGCAGGGCATGCCTGGCCCAAGTAAATAAAGTTAGTGACAGGAACGTTACAGACACCCGGCTCAGCCATGGGCAGGTTCTCTGGATCGGCCCAGTCCCCAGCGTGGGAGAACGGGGCAGGGGCTGGCTTCCTGGCCACATCTCACTGGTAAAGGTCATGGCCAGGCGGTCAGCCGGGGCCAGCATACCTGTTTGTACCAGTGCTTCATCAGGCGGATCAAGTTCTTCAGCTTGGCGGGCCGGGAGAGGATGAAATTGCGCTGCAGTTCGGTAAAACAGGTAGAAAACTCTCCCCCCTGGAGGTCAGAGGATTTGTACAGATCGATGAGTCCAGCGTAGACCTGGGGTCTGGGTGTGGAGCCGGAATGCAGTTGACCTGGATAAAAGATTTTAAAACATTTTGTGACATACAATCCCAGGAAATGAGGCGGAACTGTACCAGAGTATTTGCATCTTGATGTCTAAGGCACAGGCAGCCTCTTCAGAGGAATGAGATGTTTTCTGAGGTTATTTCAAGTTCTTGGTCGATCTAGAACACAGCTGGAGACAACTTCCATTATTGAAGAATGAGCTTTGAACAGTGCAGCTCTGGAATCCACAAACCTTGGTCCCTGGGGTAAACCTGACCCCCTGTTTGTTTTGTAAATAAAGTTTTATTGGAACAAGGCTACAGTATTTGTCGATGTGTTGCTTATGGCCGTTTTCATATTATAAAGGCCGAGTTGAGTGCAGGGAGATACCCCGTAGTCCTCAAAATATAAATAATTGCTATCTTGACTTTTAGATTAAAAAAAAAGTTTGCTGGTCCCTCTTCTGCACTTTGCTTCTGTATTTGCTGGTTCTCTCCATCCCTGACCACCCACCACTTCCAGCATCTAGAATCTTCCTCCTCCAGAGCTGGGCTCTGGGGATGCTCACCTAGTGCGTTAAAGGCGGGCAGCACGTCAAAGTCAACGCTTTCGTTGACATTTTTGGATTTCAGAGAGAAGCTCAGCACCCTGGGGGCCTTCCACTTGGACATCTCGAACGTCACTTCGAACTGCGTCTTCTGCTGCCAGACTTCCAGCTGCCTGCGGATCTCTTGGACAACCCTGCCCCGCTCGTTTCTCTGGGAGGTGTAGCTCTGAAGTGTGCTGGGGAACACCACCAGGTCGGCGTCAGAACCGGTCTTCAGGGTCGTGCCTTTGGCGGCTGACCCTCCCTGGGGGACAGAGGGGGCGTGAGACCCAGGCTCTCCTGGCCCTTGAGGCCCTCGCCACCACGGTCTGGCACCACTTGGGGCTAATTCATGAGGTCACTAAGGGCAGCTTCCAATGAGGGTCCAGTGAGGGCAGAGTCCAAAGCAGAGCAGAGTGTTAAGATTTACAGAGCGTTAGGATCGGGTGCCCCGATCCCACCGGGGGACAATAGCAATGGATCCTCCACTTCTCATTTCCTAAAGAATCCTCAGCTTTCACAGATTTTCCTCAAAGACATCAAACTCAGGGTGATTGTTACGTTGTAAGTTCTCATTTGTTCTCTGAGGGGCCAGTCTCCTTCTGCAGTCTGGGGACCCCGGGATGAGTATTCATAACTAAGGTGCAGGGGTCAGTAAACAATCCATCAAAGGATAGACGGTAAGTATTTTAGGCTTTGGAGGTGCTTAGTTCTCTGCTACACAGCTTTAACTTCTTCTTAATCTCCTCCTCCTCCTCCATTCAATTTCTGGTGAAATTTAAGAGCTGTGGCTATGGGAGTCTTAGGTCATGGAGGGCATTCCCCAGGGGGGGATTATAGAAATGCCGCCTCCTCCTATCTCTCTGTATTTTGATTCCCAGACATGAGCTGAGTGGCTTGGTCCACCATATGTTCTGCCTCACCACTGGTAATGGGGACAATCAATCATGCACCGAAACCTCTGATACTATGAATACAAACCTTTTCTCTTTATCAGTTCATTTGTCTCAGGCATTTTGGTACAGTATTGGAGAGCTGACTGATACATGACCTTATTGGGGAAAAGAGTCTTTGCAGATGTAATTAAATTAAAGATCTTGAGATGAGATCATTCTGAATTCTAAACCCAATGGAAAGTGTCCTTGGAAGGGAAAAGAAGAAGACACATGTCAGAGAGGGGATACAAAGATAGAGGTAGAGATGGGACCGATGCACCTACAAGCCCAAGAGTACCAAGGATGGCCAGCAACCCTAGGAAACAGGGTGAAACATGAGCCCTAAAGACTAGCATCCTAGTCCCAGTTCCCTAGTCTCAGATTTCTGATGCAGGTTGAGTCCTGGAAAGCCACAGTGATGCCCCGTCCCACTTCTTCCCCTGCCCGCAGCAAACCTGGAGAGAAGGCCTGCACTCACCTTGATGACCTTCTGGACCTTGGTGGTCGAGTGTCGGAAGCAATCTTCTTTAAGGAATGTGCAGATGTCGTCCACGGCTCTGTGGAGCTGATCCAGGAAGTCTTTGTTGGGCTGGAGAAAGTCCTTGATGAACTTGTCCAGAAGGTGGCCGGGGGTCATGAAGAGTGGTGCTGGCTGGGAAAGTGGGGGACGCAGGGCTGAGCCTTCCTGGCGGCCAAGGGGGGCTGCCTTCCCCACTGTGCCAGCTCTGTCTCCGCCCTCCCCCGGTCAGCAGCAGCTGTCCTGTCTGTGGCCCTCAAGTGGCTTCACCTCAGGAGCACACCTGAGAGCTTAGGGTGTACCCGAATCCCCCGGGGGTGAGCACCCTGCTAGTTCCTCTAGTTACCACCTTGGAGAGATCTGGGTCCCGCTCCTGACGGGCTGGTGAGGACTTGGAGGTGGGGAGATGAGCCTGATCACCCGGCTGGTCCAGGGAGTCCCGAGATTACAAGGCAGGCAGGAAGGTTAGAGCTGAAGAAGGCCAGGCGGCCCCAGAAGCAGAGACAGAGACAGCAAGGTGCCAGGCTCTTGGCTTTGCAGGTGGAGGAAGCAAGGCCCAGAAGTCAAGAAACTTGGGACAGCCTTGAGAAGCTCGAAAAGCCCAGGAAACACATCCTTCCCCCGAGCCGCGACGCCTCGGTTCCGGCACAGGGCATGCCATCTGGGATTGCTTCTCCCCAGAACTGTAAGAGAGTCAACTCATGTTGCTGTAGCCACTAAGCTTGGGGCACTAAACAGACAGGCAGCTGCACTAAGGGGCGATGCACCCGTTGTTCTGAGGAATGAGGTCCTTCCCCTGCCCAGCACTGACCAGCCCATTGGACGTGCGAATGTTGCTCAGCTCCATGGTCAACAGCTAACCTTGGTTGTCCAAAGATATTGCAAGGGGACCTCAGAATTCTTGGGGTAGCTCCCCCTGGAGGGCAAACTTGGAAGTGCAGGGTTTGTGTGTGTGAGTGTGTGTGAGTGTGCGTGAGTGTGTGAGAGTGTGTGTGCACACATGCACGTGAGCATTCCTGTTGTTCAGCGGCTCCTGGGCTCCTGACTTATTCTCAGTAGCTGAGGGGGGGAGGGTCCCCAGTCTGGACACAGAGGCAGGAGAAGAGCAAGACACAGATGTCCAAAGCAGGAGCCCAAGATGGTATAGGGGAGACACAAGAACCAACGCGACCTGTGCTCTGGGATAGAATGTTCTAGAGGATATTCTCGGAGTACTGGACACGATCTAGAAATGGACTGGATTGAGACAGTAAAAACATATGAGCCCAGCGGCATTAGCTGGTGGCCTGGAGATTATGGAGGAGCAGAAATGTCCAGGTAGGAAGGTGTCTGGTAGCCTAGTCACAAATGTCCAGGTCTAAACTCCTGTGGTGATAGTGACATGCATGTCCTGTGGAAGATGTGGTCAATGTGGCACATCTGTGCAGCTGTGTCGGGGCCCATAGAGACCCGCTGGACCATCGCTGCCACTATTCTATGTTTGAAAGCTTTTCAGAATAAAACGTCATGAAAATTGGGGGGAGGGAGCCACGACCAGGATTCCAGAGCGAGGGGGGCTGGGGCTGGGGCAGGGCTCGGGGGTCCAGTTAGGGAACCTCCTCAGGCACGGGCTCCTTCATCAGGTGAGCTCCTTCACATGTTCATTTACAGCCCTCAGATTTCTTTGCAAAAGGGGTGTAGTTCCTGCCTCCCATAGAATTGGGGGTAAATCAGTCCCTTGTCTGCAGAATGCGGAATTTGCTCCATCTGCTTGTCCTTAGAAGATGAATTTTCTCAAGGAGGCAGAATAGTCCCAGTGGTCTGACCCGGGAATGTCCTCCATGCGTCGTCCCCTCTGCAGGCTCTGAGGGTACCGAGGGATCCACACCAGGACTGTCTCCCGGCCAGTCCCTCTGGGAGTTATCTCTGCCTCCTCTCCCCGACCTTCCACGCCAGCTGCATGGGGTGAGAGCCTGCTGGGCATCCCCAGGGGGGACCTGCCCCCTCTCTTAGGCTCTGCTCACATCTTCTCTTGGGGTCCCCTCTTGCTCTTTGTTCCCGTTTACGCCTCCCAGGCCTTCTGTGGGAAAGGAGAGCCCTGCAGTGTCACAGGTTGAGTCGCGTCCCCCTAAGAGCCGTCAGGGTTTTGACCTGCAGCACCTTTCTTGGAAATGGGGTCTTTCTGAACGTGGTCAGGTTAAGAGAGGTCAGGGTGGGTCCTAACCCAATGCAGCTCTTGTTCTTATGAGAAGAGAAACAGCTGGACAGACACACAGAGGGTAGAGGACATGGAGACACATGGAGAAGGACAGGTGACCATGGAGGCAGTGGTAACCAGAGGCTGCCATAGCCCAGGGAGGGCCAGCAACCGCAGAGGCCGGGGGACAGGGGGGATTCTTCCCCAGCGTCCTCAGAGAGAGCACGTCCTATACACACCCTGACTTGGGGTATCTGGCCTCAGGACCAGTGACCGAGCCAGGGGTCGGCAGGACCCTCCGACAGCCTGGAGCAAGCCGTGTGTGGAAAACCCTCTTACCAGAACATTCCAGGAGAGCCTCGGCGCCTCGCCGCTCTGCTTGAGAGAAGAGAGCCAGAGCCCGGCTTCTTCCTTCAGACGCGGCCAGGATATACCCTGTCTGCTCACGTTGTTGGTGGGGTCGGCGGGGTCCAGGATGACCGGCCTGCGAGTCCCATTGGAGGAAAACCCGTCAGTTCTGAGGACAGAGTGGGCAGCTGCCACCCAGATTTGGATTCCTGCGGGTCCCCTGGGCTGCTAGGGCTCTTTCTGTGACAGTCGGTTCTCTGGGCCTGTGTCCACTGCTTGGCAGGGAGGGTCCAACGACCGAGGACACAGGGGTTTCTCCTTCTCCCCTTTGCACCTCTGCCCCAGCACGGCTGCCATGTTTGTTTCTAGGACAAAGCGTGACCACAGTTTGGGAAGCAAAGAGCATGGGCCAGGTCCCCACTTTCAGCCCCCGGGGGCCACGGGGGAAGGCCTGAGGCCTGGCGCGCGGCCTGTGGGGGGAGACTGCGGGGCAAGCTGGCCACCTCTGAGATCGGAGCTGCTGCAGGAGGACATTCCTGACGGTCTCGTCCTCAAAGTCGTAGTTGACTGTCCAGTAGACGCACAGGAGGTCCTTCTGCTCGATCAGCCCCAAGACAGTGCGGACGCCCTGGGCCATGTCGAAGTCCTCGGCTCCGCACCCCTGCTCCCAGGCGTACACCGTGAGGAGCTCCAGGGCATACCCCGAGAACAAGGAGGAAATCCCCCATTTTTTCTGGCACTGTGGGAAGAGACAAGAGCAAGGGCTGTGCTGAGACCTAGTTCCCCCTGTGCCCTGGGGTCCGAGATCAAGGAATCCGGAGTCTACAAGAAGTCCCTGTCCCCACCAGAAGGCCTAACATTGAAGGCACTGTCCAACCCCAGGCTGGACAGAGTGTCGGGCAACCCCAACTCTCACCTACCCTCATGGGAATATAACTTGGTGTAGCTGTTCTGGAAAATTGTTTGGCCATAATGAAGTGAATTAAAAACTCCCCGTATGTATTTCATATGGATCCCAGGCTTGTAGATATACATATGCACATATGTGTTCCGTGTGGTTGTGTGAACACTCACACATGTACACAACCGTATGCTGACCCTAGAACCTATCCATGGCACCGCCGTGTGCCTACCCAAGAGAAATGAGTGTTTAAATTTATAAAAGACACCCAGGAGAATACGCAGAGTAACCTAATTCATAATAGCTCCAATTTGGAAATGACCCAAATGCCCATCAGCAGTAGAAAAGATCAATATGTGATATATTCACAAAATGGAACCATTGGAAACAAGAAAACGTTTCCGATACTTGCAACAATGTGGCTGAATCTCCCAAATATCGTGTTGACAAAAGAAAGGCGATGCAAACCCTCCGGAAACAGGCTGAGTGCGGTGGCCCTTGCCTGTAATCCCAGCAGCTCAGGAGGCTGAGGCAGGAGGATCGTGAGTTCAAAGCAGCCTCAGCAATGGTGAGGCACTAAGCAACTCAGTGAGACCCTGTCTCTAAATAAAATCCAAAATAGGGCTGGGGATGTGGTTCAGTGGTCAAGTACCCCTGAGTTCAATCCCCGGTACTGGTTGGTGGTGACAGATGTTGGAATAGGGGTGTTTGGGGCGTAATGGACCAAGGTGGTCTCAAGATGGCATCTGGGAGGCAGAAAGTGTTCTCCATTTTGATTGGGAATTGCCGATGAGGATGAACAATAACAGCAAGCTTTGGAACCTGGCTGGATGTGCATCATCTCAATCACAAGGAAGCACATCGTAATGACATGTTCAATTTGAAATTACCTGTTGGTACCAGTACTTTATCAGGAGAATCAAGTCCTTCAGTTTTCTGGGATACTTGCTGAAAAACTTCTTCCGGAGCTCTTCGAAGCAGACCGAGAATTCTCCAGGGTAGGCAGAGGTCTCATCCATGGCTCTTTTGAGATCTCTGTAGATCCAGGGGCTGGGATTCTCACTGAAGCCTATGGAGAGGGAAACCCGGGCTCAGAGAGGCAGGGACAATGATGGGGGACAATCTCTAGGAAGGCTGGTGAGCTTCCATAACAGGTGACTGCGACAGGTAGTTTGCTGATGAAAATCATCAGCAGAAATGACTAGAGAGGTAAGGGAGCAATGATAGGTGACATATAAACACATCTGGATCAACAACCAGGAGGAGGCAGGAGGCTTTTTGCTCTTCTGCATCCCCACAGGTATTTGCTGACTCCCAGGCAGGGTCCAGGGTCATTGGCAAGCAAGGAGGTTGAACAAAGAGCATTCTCCCCTCCCCACAGTGGTAATCATTGAGTGCTGACTCTCTGCTAGGCACGGTCCATGCCCTTAATGCAACATCACCAAACTATTCTTGATTAAGTGCAATTGCCACAGCTAAGTTACAGAGGAGGAAACGGGAATACAGACATGTCCAGTGAATGGACGGAGGGAGGGATGATGGATGGATGGAGGGAGGGATGATGGATGGATGAGGGTGGATGGATGATGGATGGGTCAAAGAGCCGGCATAGTTGTGGCTTGGGTGGAAGGCCCTGGGGAGAGGTGAGTTGCAGGAAGACTGCAGAACCTGGTAGTAAAGGGCGGCCAGGTTGGTTAGGCTGCTATCTAGTAAAGAGAGCTGTCAGTGAATTCCGAAGACAACCTTTATTGCTTCCTTCTAGAAGAGATCTGGGCTGGGGGTGTGACTAGGAAGAAAGAGCATTTGCTTTGCATGCACAAGGCCTTGAGTTCAACCCTCTGCCTACAAGGGAAAACAAAAGCAAAAACCTCTCTCTTGGCCTAGAGAGGGATCTCGATTTGGAACGTGCAGCTCTACCACCATCTGGCGGTGGCTTCTGGGTACCACAGGTGGGGAGACGTGCGTTTCTTTCTCGCACTGTCCAGGCATGACAGGGTGCACCCAGCAGAGGGCGCGCCGCTGCCGCCAGCCACGATGCCGGGAATGAGTGCAGAGCGCGCAGGATCCACTGTAAGCTGGACTCGCGGGTCTCTGCGCCCCGACTCCAGCCCGCGGTTCAGGCAGGCGCAGGCTCACGCCCTTAACATCCTAATGGCCCTGCAAGCTGCTGTCTCTAGTCCGATCTTACAGTCGGTGGACACGGGACCTGGTGGGACCAGACTCAGGGCTGCCCGGATGCCCTTCTCTCTGGCCAGGTCACCTTTCTGTGACAGGGAGTCCTCGGGATGGGTGTATGTCCTCACCTTATCAGAAGATGGGGGAACTATTGTTCTTCAAAGTCCCGTGCAATCCAGAAATTCCTTAATGATGAAAGGCACCCTGGCCAGGGGCTTGGACGCCCTGGGTTTTGATTCTAGTACTGTCTGTGCCTGGCCATGTGGCCCTGGGGACATCTTTTCCTTCCATTTCCCCACATGTGCAAGGGGAGGCTGGATCTCTGTTCTAGTATTCTTAAGTCCCTCCACCATCCACCATCCCTCCATCCACCTTCCCTCCATCCATCATCCTTCCATCATCCTTCCACCCATCATCCTTCCATTCATCACCTCTCCATCATCATCCACCCACATCCCTCCATCCATCTATTTTCTATCCATCATCCCTCCATCAATCAGAAGATCGATCGATCCATCCATCCACCCACCCACCCAACTGCCAAACAATGATTATTGATAATGAACGTTGTACTGGCATCCAGAGAAGCACAGGACGGTCATGTACCTGTCCTCATGATGGTACCATCTAGGAGAGGCAGAACAAGTTATCTGGATGTCAGTGACATAGCTCATGATTGGGGACACACAGGTCACTATCGGAGCCTACAGGAAGCGGGTCTAAGTCAGGCGCAGGAACCAACAGTGAGTTGGAGTTACCAAAAAATAAAAGGCGGGCAGAAGAACGTTCCAGATGAGGCCCCAGAGCCGGGGCCACAGTCTGGGCTGAGCGCACGTGGTAGGTCGGGCAGCAGACTGGGGTGGGGTGAGCCCGCAGGGCCACTAGGCCATCAGCGTCCTGCCCTGTGGGGATCTGGTCAAGGGTGCAATGGAGAGGGACAGAACCATGCTTGTGCTGGAACAGATAGAACCCATCTGCAGGGTGCAGAGGGAGAGGAGTAGGGAGACCCTCAGGGCGCTATGGCCACATCTCAGTGGCCTGGAGTAGGGGTGGGCGGGCGGGGGGGGGGAGGCAGATTGAAGGCAAGAGGGTCAGGACTGGGGGTAGCCAGGGCTGTGGGGGAGCGGGAGAGACACACTGATCAGAGGTGCAGCCCGGATTGGAGACAGGCAGGACCGTGGGGGCATTGGCAAGCAGGGGACACAGGAGGCAGGCAGGTCTTGGGGGGCGGGAGGAGCACCCACGGAAGGTGGTTGTCTTGCTCTTGACCTGGGAGGACGCAGGCTGCAGCCTGTCCTGCCCCTCCTGTCCCTGGGGAGCCAGCCTGGTGGCTGTGGACCGGTGGGAGCTGGGGAAGCCCGGGCCCTTCCTCAGACCCTGAGGAACCTGCGCTTCCAGAAGAGCCCAGGGGACTCACAGGCACACGTAGCTTGGAAAACCCAGCTTCCGATTCGAGAGTCTAGAACATTCCTGCCACCGTCAGTGGGGAGGTGGGAGGAGTTCCAGAGAGGAGCGTCAGCCAGGCAGGGGGCCCTTCCCTCCCGAGGGTCCCGTTTTGGGAAGCGCTGCTGCTTCCCCTGCCCAAGGCTACAGGACCCCGGAGGCTTCCGCCCGGGAGCACTCACCCAGAGCATTGAAGGCAGGCAGCACCTTAAAGGAGACCGTCTGCCACCTGGTGGACACCTCGATGTTAAGCTCCCCTCCGAGTCTCAGGATCTGATACCCATCTGTCAGCCCGAGGGCGAGCAGACGGGTCTTGAGCTGTTGCCCGATGATGTCGAGGATTTCCTGTTGGATTTTCTTCTGGTCCTGGAATTTTGCCAAGTGGTCGAGGAAGAGGACGAAGGTACCATCTGAATGGTTTCTCAAGATCGTTTCCCGGCTATAGGAGCCACCCTGCGGGTGACAAAGTAGCAGACGTGAGACCCTGGACTCTTGGAGGTTCACGGGGGACTCCAATTTGACTGAAAACCAAAAATGTTACCATAGCCTTAGAATTGAGTGGCAGGCATCCCTTCCCCACGGGTCCTGAACTTTCCTAGTGCTCCCTCCGCCCCACAGGCCCAGGACCCTCGGCCCCAGTCCTGGTGCCCACGGTTCCAAACATTCCTAAAGGATGAGAAACACCCTTCCTGCCCCTTGCTGATGAGAACCTCAGAGCAGCCCCGCGCAGATTCATTAAGACCCTCCAGCCTCAGTAGCTTCCTCTGTACAATGGGCCCACGGAACCAGTGACAAATCGGTTGTTCATTGATTTATGAACCGGTGGCGGGGCAGCCCTCTGCGGAGGACATCGGACGTTCAAGCCTGAAGACACCCTAAAGTGGGTACCATCTCCCCCGCCCCCCGACCGGCCCAGAGAGGGTGAGCAGCTTGCCCAATGCCATAGCGGGGTAGAGACAGAGGCAGCCGCGAGGCCCGCGCCCCTCTCCACCTCCAGCCACCCCGGCCGGGGCCATGCTCACCATGGCCACGCTCTGCACCACGGGGAAGGGCTGGATTTCCTTCAGGGCGGCGCAGATGGTCTCCACCGTCAGCTCGATCTGCTTCCGACAGGGTTCGGAGGGCTTCAGGTGGCTCTGGACGAACTCGCCCAGCTGCGGGGCGGGCACCGAGGACACCTGCGACTCCCAGTTGCCCATGGCGCCCTGCTGACCGCGGCCCTGCGCCCCGCGCACCGCACCGCTTTGCGCCGGGGGAAAAGGAAAGCGAAGCCCGCGCAGCTCCGCCCCCGCGGCCGCCCGAGGACCGAAACTCAGCCGAGCCTGTCCGGCCGCCTCTGCGCCGGAACCAGCCGCCAGCTAAGCGCAGCCCCCGGGGCCACGCGGGGGCTCCCGGGCGCCAGGTGTGTCCTGGGGCTCACGACCCGCCCTCCCTGGTCCTCAGGGTCCCCACCTGCAGAAAGTGGCACTTTTGTCACGGGGTCGAGGGGAGCGTTAAATGATCCCCGTCACGTGCTCAGAGCAGGAGGGACCGGGCGTGGGTGGGACGGAGGGAGACCGAGAAACGCAACTTCTGCGCACAGAACTGGGAAATCGAAACTCGGAGGGTTTGCCCCGCTGCCTCTGCCCAGCAGTGATTCACCCAGGAGGCAAAAGTCCCCAAGGCTCAAGGGGATCAGGACCCTCCCTGCTGGGATGGTTGATCTTATGCACCAACTTGGCCAAGCCCAGTTGCCCAGATATTTGGTCAAACTTACTCCAGATCTTTTTGTGAATGTATTTTATTTTTTCTGCTTTTTTTTTTTTAATATTTATTTTTTAGTTATCGGCGGACACAACATCTTTGTTTGTATGTGGTGCTGAGGATCGAACCTGGGCCGCACGTATGCCAGGCAAGCGCGCTACCGCTTGAGCCACATCCCCAGCCCCATTGTGAATGTATTTTAAAGATGAGGCTAACATTAAACCAGTGGACTTTGAGTTAGGAGACCACCCACCCAATGGGGCGGGCCTCACTCAATCAGTTGAAGGCCTTAATAGAAGGAAAGATGAAGCTTCCCTAGGGATGAGGGGGTTCTGCCCCCAGCTCTGGAAGATGTGCCTGGCCAGCATCCAGGGCCAACCCAAGAGGTGGAACCTGGGGTCCTGAGTTCCAGGCTTGGATTCCCAGCCAGCCAGCCACCCACCGAAGCCAGCCAGACGACTGACCGACACCCACGGAGCTCAGCACCTGGGGTGGGGAGGGGCTGTGCAGGTGGCCCAGACGGTGGGGCTGTCCCCATCCCTCAGCTGTGAGGGTCCCAGGGCTGAGTGGACGGCCCCTGGTCCTGTGTCCTTGGCGGGCATCTTAAGCAGAGGCCCTGGACAGCCGGGTGCCTAACATCCCGGGCAGAGAGGGCGCAGGGGCCTCCTTCCTCTGTCCCCTGGGGTGGGCCCCTCCTCCATCCAATTCACAGGTGGTGACTGTGGGGGACGCTGGGCTGGACATTTTACATTATTTAAAGGCAAAAACCACATCTGGATTGCCGTAGCTGTGAGTGACAGGAGCTGGCCCGGGCAGTCAGAGAGACTGTGCAGTGGGGATGTCAGTGTCCCCCACAGGACTTTCTGGGTTGGCCCAGCAGCAAGCCAGCAGGAGGGAAGTGGGTCAAGAGGACCCTAGTTCAGCACGAGTAGAGAATGGCCACTGACGTCTGGACGATCAATCTCTGAAGAGATTCGTGGCCCAAGAAAAACGGAGAGCAAGAGAACCACTCACACTGCATACGAGCTGCCCTTCTGCGGGGCCAAGGACGCTGTGCCAGGCACCTATTACTAGGCACAGGGGCGGGGCCTTCCCACCGGAGAAGCACTTCGTAGGCGACATGGAGCCTCAGGGTGAGATGGAGTCTGAGTGGTCATTGCTGTGCAGCCTGGCCGTCACAGGCAGAGATGCTCAGAAGGCAGAGGCCAGGGCAGGGCCCGGGGACGCCTCCGTGCCCCAGGTGTGCACTCTGGTGCCGAGACAGAAAAGAGCCCCCTGGAGCCCTCTGTCCTCTGCATCCAGGCAGACGTGACCAGCGGTTAGGGGACCTGCTTCAGAAGACTCCCCAAGTCAATTCAAATCAAAAGAGAGCTTTAGTTACCTGGCCAGGGACTGTCACCCACCGCAGAGATCAAGCTCTGTGGGAGGACAGCCGCTTCCTGGTCCCTCCAAGGAGGATATGAGGACAAAAGCCACAACTCAGTGACTTGCTGGTCGTCGTGTGAGCCAGCCAATCATAAAACATTGATCAGGAGGACCTGTGGGCTCCAAGTGACAAACGGAAGCTAACATGCATTAGCTCTGCCGCTCAGGGGCCACAGTCCCGGGTTCAGCAGGTGCTGGACAGTACCATCCTGAATTGGGCGGGGGTCGGCAGGCCAGAGCCTACTTCAAAGTTGTGTAGACCCACGGGGGCACTCACACCCAGGACACAGCTCCCCAGACCACCGCTGCACCCTGAATAGGGGACAATTTGTGGGTACAAAGTCCAGAAAGACAAATTTTTAAATAAGAAAACAGCTTTTATTTCAGTTTCTCAGAAACGGCTCTTGGAACAGTGTTTTATAGGAGGCACAAATGGAGTCCGAGGCCCGCCCGTGACAGTCCTTATAATGGTCTCGTCTCACTTATCAAAATCTCACATCTACAATCTGTATTTGTACTAGTCTATAACCTATGACTCGCACTCTTACTGATCCTATCGATCAGTTCACACCGCGACACAATCAACCCCAGCACTGCCTCTTTCCCTGTGCACAGGTTCCGAGGCAGGGGGCTGCCCCGGAAGGAGCAGGAGGGCTGGGGGCAGGCGAGGGGGAGATGGTCTGAAGAGCCACTGGGGCTGGGGTCCACTCCTGCTGTCCAGCACAGCCACTGACCTCCTGGACTTCACACAGCAGCCTGGGGGAGAGCGTGGCAGGAGACGCTGGTCCCCGGGGACTGCAGGACGGAGCCCTGGTGCCCGGCTGGGGCAGGAGCAGCCCCCCTGGTCCCCCCAGGCTCTCACCCTCACTGGCCACGGCCGGATGGCAGTGCCGTCCCTGTCCGTGCAGCACAGTGCAGACATGGAGTCCTCGGCTTCCTTGGCCAGCAGGTCCCAGCGGGCGCTGTGGCCCAGGTTGCCCGTCGGATCAGCCGGGTCCAGGATGATGGGTCTGCAATTCCATCCAGGGTCAGTGTGACTCCTAGTGACATCTAGGGCTGCCCCTGTGGCTTCGGCTGGACTGTCCTCTCCCCGTATCTGACACTGCAGGGGCTGGACAGGGCTCAGGGGCTCCTCTGCCTGGTGGCCCCTTGACCATGCTGCATCCAGGCAGACGTACTGATCCCCCTCGGCTCCGTGCTCCCCCAGGGCACGCAGGCCTTGATGCCTACTCCAGCCTGGCCGCCTCTCTCCCTCCCACATCCTGGGCCGACGTCACTAGCGGATCAGGCTCCTCTCTCTACTAAGGCAGATGACATCATGAGTGTCTTTAAAATGTCCCCCTGTATGGCCACTGCCCAACGACTAGACATGTGTCACGAGCTTGGGGACATCTCTTCTATCTCTGTGCCCATTTCAGAGAATGAGACGCCTCATGCTCCCTGGTGGCTCTGCAGCGAGCGCTGCCCTCAACGCGCTTCAGACAAACAAGGGACACAGTGTCCCTGGCCTAGGTCTCTCCCGCTCGCCCGGAGCGCGCTGATGCTAAAGGGCACTCACTGCGTAGCTGAGATTGAACTTGGGGTCCTGCTCTCTCTGCTCTGTGCCCTGGGGGTGGGGGGAGCCCCAGCCAGAGTCTGGGGACTGGGCTGGCCTGGACCTGGGCTTCTGAAGCTGCTGTCTCAGGAAGTCCCTGATGGTTTCGTCCTCGGCGCTGTAGTTGACAGTCCAGTAGACGCGGAGCTGGCGGTACTGCGTGATGAGCTCCAGGACCGTGCGGAAGCCCTCAGCCATCCCGAACTGGGGGTCCTGGCCGCCCTGCTCCCAGGCGTACACGGTCAGGAGCTCCAGCCCGTGCTGGGGGGGCAGGGAGCCCTTCCCCTTGGGCATCTTGTGGCCCTGGGGAGCGAGGAGAGTGGCGATGGTGGGGTCGGAGGGGCCATGCCCCCCCCCCCAGCACCTATGCGCCCATCAGATCCCGGGATGCAGCTGTCAGCCCTGATAATGCTGTGTAGGCTCCTGGATCCAGCTATGCCTGAAGCTGCCTAATCCAGGACTTTCTAGTTACATCAGTTAGAGGGGAAAACCGAGGCCCTCCAGCGGCACCCTGTTCCTCCAACCCAGGGGCCTGGGACTGTGCTAGGGGCTGTGGTGGGGGGCCAGTCCCTGGGCCGCACCTGGACCTGCCGGTACCAGTACTTCACCAGCCGGATCAGGCTTTTGAGCTTGGTGGGGCGGGAGACGATGAAGTCGCGCTGCAGCTCCGTGAAGCAGGTGGAGAACTCGCCGGCGCAGTGGTAGCTGCGGATGAGGTCCCTGTAGACCTGTGCGTGGGGGGGCCTGGAGCCCGCACCCAGCTGGCCTGGACAACGGGGAGGCCATGTGGTGCCATTGCCCAGAGTCTCCCAGCCACGACCCAGGAGGATGTCCGCGACCCCCCAGAGTGGCTGTCCCTGGGGTGGCCTGGGATGCCCTGGAGGCACCGGGGGCTCCGTGGGGGCAGAGATTGGTGGCAGGTCCTGGACCTGAAGCCTCTGGGGACAGCAGCACTGCAGGGGCAGGGGCGGAGGTCCCCCTGTGGTCTGTGGCACTCAGGGGCACTGCTGAGCACCAAGCTTGCCCTTTGGAACAGGACAGCGCAGAGACATTTCCACAGGAACCTTCCCCCTTCTTCTTCCAAACTCAGGCACCAAGTGAACTTAGATTTCGGGGGTTTTCTCACTCTGCACAGTGCATGTTGGTGGCATTTCTGGGGCCAGGATCCAGTGGCTTGAGTCCACTTTTATCACACAGAGCATTTTTGAGGGAATTAGAAAAAGGTGCCCTTTACTCTGCACTCTTCAGGAAAGGTGTGACAGACCTTCACACGGACAATGTGTGTGATGTGAACCCATGTAGCCCAGATGTGCAGTGCACAACCTCTACAACTGTGCCTGTCTGCTCCTGTCCTTCCCCTTCTCAGGCCTACACCCGGGAGCCTCACCTAGCGCATCAAAGGCTGGCAGCACGTCAAAGTCCACACTGTGGTCCAGCATCGTCTGGGATGTCAAGGAGAAGCTCAGCACCCGGGGGTTCTCCCACTTGGAAATTTCAAACTTGACTTCAAACTGCTGCTCCTGCTGACAGGCCTCCAGCTGGGCCCGGATCTCGGAGATGATCTCCGCCCGCTTATTCCCCTGCTCAGTGAACTGGGTGAAGCAGCTGAGGAACACCACGATGTCAGCGTCCGAGCGGCCTCGCAGAGCCGTGCCTTTGGCTGAAGAGCCACCCTGGGGAGGACAGGGGAGAGGTCAACCCCACAAGCACGGCTTGAGGCCCTGCACTTAAGGGCTCTGGATTCTGAGTTAGGAACCTGCTGTGTGACCTTGGGCAAGTGTCCTAACCTTAGTTAGGAGCCCCGTAAGTGTCTCACATCTTTCAATAGAGCAGGATCAGAAGAAAACACAGTGTGCTAGAAGTGAGTTAATCCCCTCAACAAACGCAAAACTTCTCCTTCCATCATGGTTTGGGGCTGGAGTGGATTTGAAAGTTTTTCTCTGTTTTTGCTCGGGCCTGTGGCTCTCAAACTTGACTGTTTCTGAGAAGCTTTTAAAAACAGCCAACAGCTGAGTCCCGTCCTAATTTGAGCTGGGATGGCACTTGGACATCATGTGATTCTAGGGTGAAGCCAGGGTTGAAACCAGGCAGCAAATCCATCCTCCTCGACTCTTATGAACGAGGAAGGGAGAATCAGAGAGACCACAGTATTTGCCTGGGGTCACACAGCACACCAGCAGGCCTGGACCCTCCGTTTTGACACTGTATTGAGATGACCGGGTCTCCACTGGGCCTGTCCAATTGTAAACTGAGGCTGTGTGAAGTGCAGAGGACGAGGTGATCTTTCATGCACACCCGCGTCCTTCCCAAGTGGGGCCAGCATCCTGGTTATGTCTGCGGGAACTGCCCACATACAGCTCCCGAAATCCAGGTGGGGCCACCTTCTGTGTAACCCAGTTCCATTCTGTCTCCCCAAGCCAGGCCTAGGAGACTCCATTCCAAGTCTTAACTTGAATTTTGAGAAAAAAAAAATTCCCCTTCCGAAAAGTAGAGCCATTTTTGTAGAATTGAATGGAAATTGGACTATGATTGTCACTCTGTTGTCAATAAATTTGTGCTTCTGCTTTAAAACAGTGAAACAAAAACAAAGCAGATCCAAGAGCTGCAGAGAAAAGCTGAGTCCTGATAATGCTATGTAGGCTCCTGGATCTAGCTATGCCTGAAGCTGCCTAATCCAGGGCTTTCCAGTTACATCAGTCGGTGCTTTCCTTTGTGTCCTTTGTTGAGCTGAGTGTCACTAGCAACTGCAAGAGATGTAGGCTTATCTGGACTCTGCCTCCACCATCCACCCATACCACTTTCTGGCTCCTTCTATATGCCTGACCTTGTGCAGCAGGCACAGAGAGGGGTCACACCCAATACTGGCCTGGGAGAGATCAGCCACTGGCAGGACCCATCTTGCCTGCTGCTCTCCGGGGACTCACTTTGACCACCTTGAGCACTTTGATGGGAGAATTCCGGAAGCAGTTTTCCCTCAGGAAGGAGCAGATGGTGTTGACAGCCTTGTTCACCTGAGCCAGGAAGTGGCGGTTGGGCTGGAGAAACCGGCTGATGAACTTGTCCAGGTCCCTGGCTGGGGTTTGGTGGAGGAGAGCTGGCTGCGAAGAGAACGGGTGGGGTGGGTGAGCCAGGCCGGCAGCTCTCGGGCTTCCTGTCTCAGGATGCCATCTCCTCTTCCCACAGGGTCTCCTGCGGCTGTGATGCCATCCCATGGGTCTCCGGCAGAGCCCAGCTGATGCTGGCACCATGACCTTGAATTTCTTAAAAATGGCAGCTGAACACACCTCTTTTCTTTATAAAGTTTTCTGGCTTCAGGTATTTTGTTACAGTAATAAAAACTAGATTAACAATATCCTTTCATGAGGTGCAGATGGCTTACCTCTTAGGTTGGTTTCCCTAGAAACCTCCTGATCAGGGGATTCTTGGGCACATGATTAATTGGGGCCATGCTCACAGAGAACAAGGGTAGCACAATAAGGGGGTGGGAAGGAGATGAGCTCGTGCCTGATCCCACAGGGAGCTTGGGAGCGTGACCCACATCACAAGAGTTGGTCCCACCTTGAGACAAAGGTGGGGTCTTTGTACGTTGTGTCTCTCAGGCACTGGATGAGATGGGACAACCTGTGCTGCTCTTGGAGGTCCATTCTCCAGAACAGGGGACAGTGGTAACCACCTCAGCCAACACTCCAGAGCTGGGGATGCCACACTGGCAGGTAAAGGGCACCAGGCAGGGGAGCCAACGATGTCCCCTCCCCAGGGCCTGCCTCTTACCAGCACATCCCAGGGTGACACAGGGGTTCTGTCCCCACTCATACAGCAGGCCTGGGTCTCGAGGGCCACTGCATTCTGGGCCAACAGCTCCCAGCTGCCTTGGCCCACGTTCCAGGTGGGGTCAGCAGGATCCAGGATTAGAGGCCTGGGGACAGAGTGGGGGGTGGGGGCAGGTGGTTGGGAATGTGGAGGGTCTGGGAAGAGGCGTGAGGGTTGGGGACAGTGTCAGGACCCCAGGGTTGGCCCAGTATTGCCCACATTCAGAAGGAGCCCCAGCTGGCTGCTGGCTACTCGGTGGCCCCTCACTTTGAGATATGGCCACCTACTGTGGTATAAAACTGGCTCTGGTTTTCTCCTTGAATTTCCTAAAAATGGCAGCTAAACATCAAAGTCCAGAGATAAGCAAAATGACTGGTGACCCCAAGCCTGCCCTGGAGCCTTCCTGGACACAGATGCCAGGTGACAGTGGGCATAGAGCACAGGGTGGAGGCGGGCACTGGGGAGCTGGTGTGCACCTGGGTTTCCGAAGCTGGCCAAGAAGGTGTGTTCTCAGGGCTGGGTCCTCAGTGCCATAGTTGTCCGTCCAGTAGACACAAAGGTCCTGGTACTGCTGGACCAGCCCCAGAACAGTCCGCAGGCCTTGGGCCATGTTGAAACTGTGGTTCTTACAGCCCTGCTCCCAGGCAAAGATGGTCAGGAGCTCCAGGGCATAGGCTGGGGGCAGAGAGGGGCCTGGCTGCTCTTGATTTTGAGCTGCCACCTGTCATGGAAGGTCAACCCAAGATCAGTGCCTGTGAGGTGGGAATGGGCACGGGCCTCCAGAGGATGCTCAAGAGTTGGGGCAGCGTGCAGAAGATGACTGACGGGCAGAAGGGCGCGGGCAGAGGCCTTGGGGTGGGAAAACATCAGGAGTGCGAGAAGTGGGGAGAAACCCACGGGCCACACAGAGACGGGGAACCCCAGCTACGTAAACGGACGTCTTCATGGAGGAAAGACACAGTGACTTCCGGATCTGGGCAGGAAAGGGAGGAGCTGGAGGCGGTTCTTCCGCTTGGGATGGCCAATGGGATGCAAAGGAGAGGAAATGTCTGTGCAGGGAAGGAGCTGATTGGCCTAGGCAGTTGTCATGACAGCACCGCTTCCGGGGGAGGGCCGAGGGGCACTCACGTGATGGTACCAGTGTTTCACCAGTAGGATGAGGTTCTTGAGCTTGGCGGGTCGAGTGTTCACGAAGTTCCTGCGCAGCTCTGCGAAGCAGGCCGCATGCTTGCCGTCGTGGCCGCCGCTGTTGAACAGGGCCGTGTACACCTGGGGCTGAGGTTTGGTGTCCGCTCCGAGCTGCCCTGTGGAAGTGGGACTGCTCATTGTGCAGCTGGGAATGAAGCTAGCAGCGCGCACCATGCATTCACCATTAGTGAAATGGATGACGCTCATTAATGCAATTAATTTCAACATTAATTATGTGACATTGCGATCAATCATAATATATTGCAACATTGGATAACAGAACTATCATTAAATTTTTTTTTTTAGTTGTAGGTGGACAAAACCTTTATTTTATTTTTATGTGGTGCTAAGGAGCACCCAGTGGCTCACACAGGCTAGGCAAGAGCTCTACCACTGAGCCACCCGCCCCCCCCACACACACCCTTTTTTTAGTATCAACCCTGAACTGGGTAGTCCAATAATTTTTACTCATACTGTGGAAGTGGCACATAGAAGTTAAGGTAATGAGCTTCCAAGATCAATAGGCCTGCGTTCAAATCCAAGCTGTGTGATTTGTGTCTTTGGGGCTCATCTGTAAGAGGGGGATCATAAGCAGCATCCACCTTATAAGGCTATTATAAGAAGCAAGTGAAATCCACATGTAAATTGCTCCAAACTGCTTTAAAAACACCGTGTGTTCAATAAGCATTAATTACTGCTATTATTCATGTTGTCATCTCCCAGGAGAGGGGAAAAAAAATCAAGGAAGGGAGAGGAAACTGGAATTGAGGCCCAGGCTCTCCTTCATTCTGGAATGAAAGAAAGCCTGACCTTTCTCCCTGAAAGGTGTCTCAGAAGAATCACCCACCAATAGAGAGAGGCCCCTGGGGACAGGGGAAGAAAGTCCCCTAAGAGAAACTGAGATCCCAATCCAATGCTGGATGCAGTTGTGAAATCCAAATTTATGGCCTGGTGGGGAAGTCCCAGGCTGTGGAGTCATCACCTAAGCTGGCCTGGGAATGAGTGAGGCCCTTGGAGCCCAGCTGGAGACAAAATGAGAACTTAGTCCCTTGAGGGATAGTTCTTCAGCCCACAGCAGAAGGAACTTCCAGAGGAAAAGGAAAGAAAGTAAAAGTTCCATATAATAAAGTTCCTCACAATAAAAAATTACAAACCACACAAGGAAATGATCCAGCCAGGGGTGGGGTGGGGAAGAGGGAGGGTATGGAGACACAACTGATGGGAGAATTTGTGATCACAGGACAATCCAAGAGACGGAGCATGTTTAAGGTGATCCAAAAAGATAAGAGTCACTGAGACCCCAATGGAAGAAATGAAGTCCAAGGGCAGGCAGCAGGTTGATTTGAGAAAGAGCCAAATAGAAACTTCTAGAAAGGAAAAAGTTCTTATTTTAAAAAAAATCAAGAATAGGTAGATGATTAGATGCATTTGAAAAGAGTAAAACGGAAAACAGATCTGAGCAATGAGAAGCAGGCAGCGTGAGGGGGGCGTTAGAGATAAAGAGTCGGGGACGTCATCAAGAGAAAGCAGATAACAGGGAACACCGGCAGAGGCAATATTGCAAAGGACCCTGGGAGACATTTCCCCAAAACTAAAGGAAGGGTTAAATTCCTGGACACAGGAGGCACCACTGATTCCAGACAGAATATGGAGCAGTCCGTGCACAGACGGATCACGGAGACACTGAAGAACACTGTGGACCAAGAAAGTCTCAAAGTCTCCCAAAAGTGGAGGGAGAGACCAAGCAAAAAGCCACACATATAAATAAAAATAGATTACATACAAAGAAATGACCATTAAAGGGACAACAGACTTCTCTTCAGAAAGGAAGAGATGTTATAGGACAGTAGACCCTGAGGGAAAACACCCATCAGACCCTTCAAGCAGGAAGCGGAAACAGAAAGGTTTTTTTTAACTCAAGTCTAAACCTGGAAAGTTCCAGCAAATTACCAAGAAGTGTTATCATGTGAAGTATACTGTTGGAGTAAAGTTAAAAAAAAAATAGTAAGTGTTTAAAGAAACAAAGGAACCAAACTCCAGACCTTCATTTGGAAACCCACATCCAAATAGTCATAGATCAAAGAGCAAAAGATAATGTCAGGATGCAGAGTACAAAATATACAGGCCCGAATGGACTGCTCCACATTCTGCCTGGAATCAGTGGTGCCTGTGTCCAGAGCCTCCTGCCTCAGCCTCCTCAGCCTCCATAACTGCATTTCTTTAGGACTGACAATGACTAAGATTCACTTCCAAAAGTCAGAAAACGAATCCTAAAGTAAATTCTCTAAAGCGAAGGAGGAAATGATACCATGAAATTTCCTTTACAATCCCCAGCGATCTGGGGAACTGTTACTGTTGGTAACTGTGGGTGGGTGGTATCTCTAGTTTCCTTTAGCCTGAAACCTTTCCTCACTAAGATCTGGGTAAAGCTCTACATCGGCTGAGATCTGCCTCAGATTTCAAAACTACCTCAAAGTAGTTTTCAGTGCCTGATTCAGTGGGAGACTTAGAAGAACGAGGAGGATGGCAGGTGGCGCCTATATGTGCTCCCTGGTCCCCAGGGTTTCTCTGTCACTTCCCCAGGCTCAGGTGTCCTCACCCACGGCATCAAAGGCAGGCAGCAGGCTGACATTCACCCAAGTCTCTGGGGCGGCAGACACCAGCTGGACCTGCAGAGCGCCAGGTGTGTTCTGCTCAGGAAACGTAAGGCGCAGCCCAGGGACTGGGTCCTGCCACCCTGATGCCAGCTGTGTCCGAATCTCCTTGATGATCTCCCCTCGGTGGCGCTCCTGGTCCTCGAAGTTCGTGAAGCAGTTGAGGAAGAGGATGAGCTCAGCATCGCAGCCACCCCGGAGGTTCGTGCCCCTGCCGAAGGAGCCACCCTGCGGAGGGAGGAACAGCTGGGACCAGGAGCCTACCAACCGCAGCCCAGAAATGGCTCTCTCGCTGATGGTGGGTCTTGGGGCACCTCAACAGGGCCAGACCCCATGAGCCCTTGACTTCTGACTCTTGGGGGCCCAGCAGAGAGCCAAGCTGTGTGGGCTTGCGCCTGCCTCTTTATCTAGAGCTGAGGCAGAGTTCACGGCCATGTGAGGCAGGGCCGGGCCGAGCCGCAGTGACCAGAACTTCAAGGCCAGCAGCAGCAGGGCCCACCACACATCTGGAGCAGCAGGTACAAGGGTAGGCTCCAGACCAGATGGGCCTCAAATGTGCTCTGTGGTCTGTTTCCATCAGTCAACATCAGCCCTTCCGTCCATCCGTCGGTCCATCATGCAACAGCATTTACCCACTTCCACGCACCGGAGCAGGTGGGAGCGCGTAAGTGAAAGATTTCCACTCAGGAACTTGCCTTCTAGCTTGGGGAGGGGGACGGGGACACAGTGGTTCCTGAGAAAATGCTAAGTGTTCCTGGAGGCCAATAGGCGGGAGGGGCTGGGCGTCCAGCCAAGATGGCCCTGGGAGGTAGCCTGCTCCACCCAGGGCTTCAAGGAGGGAGAGAGGCCCCCCCACAGAGCGCCGGGGCAGGTAGCAACCAGAGGGGGGGGCAGCCCAGGGCCACATCCTACAGCCCTGGAGGCCACACAGCCTCAGAAGTCAGGGGGCCCGAGCTCAGGAGGAAGGTGATGACTGTTGTGTGAGTGGTTTTATTTTTATTATTATTTTTTTAATATTCAAAACAAATCCTGGCACTGGACTGTACAGCGAGACCCCGGCTTGAGATGGCTGGATTGGGGTGGCCGAGAGTGCACCCCACACACTTTCTGTTTGTCACTTTGAGTTCCGTGTTCAACCTCAGGAATATGGGTGCATTATCATAAAGTGGCTTTGGGTTAACGGATGTTGCCCGATGGGGTTGGTGGGGTCCTGGGCACAGCAGGCAAGGCTGGGGCTGGGCTGGGTGAAGGTCTCCCTGGGCCTTCTGGTCTACCTCCGGCCACGCTCCAGGGCATCGATCCCCTGCGCGACCTCTCCCCTCTCCCGCGTCCCTGGAGGGCCCCATGGGATCCCCACCTGCCCCGCTCACCTTGATGACCCTCGAGGGCCTGTAGGTGCAGTTCTTGTGGAGGCAGCGCTGGAGGACCTCGATGGCCCTCTTCGCCTGCTCCTGGAGCCGTGGGTTGGGCTGCAGATGGTCCTGGATGAAGCGGTCCAGCTCCCTGGCGGGGACCTGGGCCAGGGCGGAGGCCGAGGCTGCGCCCAGGGCTGATGGGGCGGTGCTGGCGGCTGCGGCGGGCTCCGGGGCTGGACTCACAGTCCGACTGTCCCCTGCCCAGTGACACTCAGTGTCGTCCAGGCTCCTGCTGTCCTCAGGGGTCTCCTGGTCAGAGTCTCGCAGGACACAGTGGCCCAAATCAGAGCACTCAGCACGTGGGAGGCCCTGGAAGGTGGTTGGAGGAGCGCGTCACCGCACAGGGTCTCCATGCCACCCCCTGCCGCCATCGGTGGCCCCTTTGCTCAGATGAGTGACTGAGGCTCCGCGAGGGGAAGTGAGGGACTCGGTGCCTGTGGACAGACTAGAAAAAGGCGCCCTCTCGGGGGGGCACTGCAGAAGGCTCCCCCATGGTGGGTGGAAAGGCTGGGAGAGGCCCTGTGCTAGGGCCTCCTTCCTCTGCGGCCTCAGCCGGTGACTAGAGGCCACCATGCCTGCTGCTCCCACCTTCCAACTCAACTGTGACATGCGGCCCTGGCGCTTCGCGGATGCTCAGAAATATACCAGAACGCATAAAATGGGTGCAAGACCCAAGGGCCCCGGGAAACTCACCAGCCCCTCCCAGGGCTGCACCGGGCTCCCAGCTGCCTCCAGAAAGCACGGGTGGTGACAGCACGTCCGGGCCTCCTGGGCCAGCACATCCCAGTGCCAGGCTGTGCCACTGCCCACGTCCCATGTGGGGTCAGCAGGGTCCAGTATCACAGGCCTGCAGTTCCAGAGAGACAAGGTTCAGTTAGCAAGAAGGTCACCAGGGCTCTGGAGTCAGGCAGAGCTGGTTACAATCCCAGGTTAGTTATTTTCCAGCTGTGTGACCTGGGGCAGATGACTTTCCTTCTCTGAGCCTCAGTCTTCTCATTTGAAAATGAAGATAACAAGGCTCACTTTGGTGGAACTGTTGTAGAGATGAATTTGGAGCCAGGGTTCTGAACCCTGGCTGCGTATTAGGATCCCAAGATACAAGGACCATTGCTGGGAACTCTGAATTACACCCTGTGCTTTAGCAATTCCATTCCTAGGTCTACATCCATTTGATGCATACGCATCAAGATACATGCACGACACATGTGTATAACAGCCATATTTGTGATAGCTGCCAAGTGGGAGCAATCCAATTAGCTATCTTCAGTAGACTGGAAATCATATTGTCCTAAGTCCCTACTATGGAATACTAAGCAGCAATGAGAAAGAATGAACTCAATTAAATGAATGGAACTCAATGACTTAATGTTGAGAAAATAGAAACCAGGCACAAATGGACAAAGTGCACGACTCTATTCAAATCAGATTTTAAACCAGGCAAAACTGGACTGATGAAAATCAGAATGGGGTGTATCTTGTGTGTCGCTGACCAGGAAGGACTCACTGGGGTGCTGGGAGTATTCGGTGACTCTGGGTGGTGGTTTCATAGCCCTTTATAGTCGGTCCTCTAAATGGGCATGTTATCTGTCAGCGAAACCTTCACACACACAGTATGTGGCCCAGGCATTGTGAGATTTTTTTACAAGTGAAAAAGGATCACCTGGGGATCCTAAGGTGCAGCTGGGCAGCACCCCTGCTCCAGCACTGTCCGTCAGCTCTGCGAGGCCCAGGGACAGGAGAGCACGTGGCGGGTGTTAGGACGTACCTGGGTCTCTCCAGCTGCCTCCGCAAGAAATCCCCGACTGTAGGGTCCTCCAGGCTGTAGTTGACGGTCCAGAAAACACGCAGGCCCTGGTACTGTTGGATCAGGCCCAGGACAGACCGGAACCCTTGGGCCAGGCTGAAGGCGTCCTTCCCACAGCCCCGCTCCCAGGCGAAGATGGTCAGCAGCTCCAGGGCGTAGACCGGGGGCAGCGGCCTGCTCTGCGCCTCCTCCTGGAACGCCTGTGAGCAGGGTGGAGGGAGGGGCTCGGCAGGAGGAAGGGAGGGAGGGCCCATCCGTAGGCCCCTGGTGGCTGTGCCCCGGGGCTGGGGTCCCCGAAGGCTGAGCCTGGGGTGGGAGCTGGGCCAAGTCCCACCCCCGCTCCCCCAGCAGCTGGCCTGTCTCCCTGGGGGCAAGGGGTCACCAGGGCGGAGCCAGCAGGACCTGGGACTGTCTACCCCCCCACACAGATCCGGGGTGCTGGCCAGATGGCCGACTGGAGAGGAGGAGGCCGTTGGCACCCACGGAGCAGGGCACCAGGCCCAAGTGGGGCCGGGCAGCTGTCCACCCAGCCCTCGTCCCCGGTGCAGACACATGACTCCTGTTTCTGGGCCACGTATCTGGGGGTTCACATTTCCAGGAGTGACCAGCTCTATGCCGTGGTCAGAGTCGAAGCTTCTGGGCTGGCAGGGCCACTCGAGAGGGGGTGCTCTGACTTCCTTGGTGACCTGCCTGGCTGGTGGCCCCAGCAGTCCTGCTCTCTCTGCCCACCCTGTCTCTGGGGTGCGAACACACGTGTGCCCAGAACCAGATCCTGCTGGCATTCTCCTAGCACCCGGGTGGCCTGGCTAGTCTGCCCTTTTAACAAGCTCCAGGCTTCGAGCATTTCCTGTCCCCAAAGAATCCTATCTATGTGGGAAGAACCTGAGAAAGACCAATGCACCTTTTATATACAAGCAGAGGAAGAAGTCCAGAGGAGGTTAGGAACTTGCCCAGGGTCACACAGCATATCAGTATCAGAGCCAGAACCGGAATCAGGACCTCCTCCCACCCAGAACTCCCCAGACCTCCCTATGACGGGTGGTCCAGTGTGGGGACCAAGCTATGTGGCTCAAGATTTTGGGGAAACTTGTCCCTCATCTACAATGCACCAGAGTTTGTCAATAAAGCATGAATAGGGCAGATGGGTATTCCTGAGGCTGGGCTAGGAAGCTTACGAACTCCACATTACCTCATGCCGTATATAGAATATTCCAGACTAGACAAAGCCCTGAATGTGGAAAACAAGCCTTTTGGAAGGCAACGAGGGAGAGTCATGTCGGGAAGTCAGGATAAGGAAAGACTTCAGACATGGGAAAAGAACAAATAACTTAAGAAAAGATGACTACACCTGATTACATTAAAATTTGAATACTTTTGCTGACAAATGACCTTTAAGCAAAGCAAAATACAATCCACAGACGAGGAGAATACATTTGCACTATATCAAGTAAATAAGAATTAGCATCCATAATATATAAAGAGCTTCAACAACTCAACAAGAAGAAGACAGTTACGAAAGAAGATAACGGACAAAGGACATGAGCAGGCATTTTCCAGAAAGAGGCCATAAAAGGTCACTAAAAATAAGAAAATATTTCCAGTGTTATGAAAGCACAGAGAAGTCAAATATCTGGAGCCAGAACCTTGGCAGAGCTTCACCTGGCGGAACCAGTGCTTCACAAGCAGGATCAGGTTCTTGAGTTTGACTGGGCGAGTGTTCACAAAGTTCCTCCGCAGCTCAGCAAAGCAGGCCGCGTGCTCACCCCCCTGGCAGCCGCTGTTGAGGAGGGTTGCGTAGACCTCAGGTTTGGGTTTGATTCCAGGACTCAGCGTCCCTGGGGACATAAAGCACTGAGTTAGGATGGGCACTAAGGACGCAGGCCCAGCTCTGCTGGGCACTGGGAGGGAGTAGGGAGAATTCGGGTGGGAGGCGCTGGGGGAGCAGCTGAAGGAACCTGAGGTGCCTGGGTGGGGGACCAGCCTCTCCACCCAGGACCACAGACCCTTCTCGGCCCCCTCTGGTCCGAACCCGCCGTGCTTATTCAAGGAGCCAAGGCTCAGAGACAGGTATAGCTTTGCCCAGGTGGCCCAGCAAGTTAGTGTCAGGGCCAGAACTGGATGACCTGTCTCGCCCCCAGGAATCCTCCCCCAACGCTGGAGTGAGCCGGGGACCCCTCACCCAAGGCGTCAAAGGCAGGCACCAGTTTGACATCCATCCAGTTTTCAAGGTCTTCCGATACCAGCTGGAACCACAGGACCCCGGGCGTGTTCTGCTCAGGAAACTGGAGGCGCAGGCCAAGGATGCGGTCTCGACACCAGGCGTCCAGCAGCCCCTGCATCTCCTTGAGGATCTCCGCACGACGGCCCCTCTGGTCCTCATAGCTTTCGAAGCAGCCAAAGAAGATGACAAGTTCAGAGTCGCAGCCACCCCTGAGAGCTGTGCCCCGGCCAAAGGAGCCTTCCTGTGAAGGGAACAGCAACAGGAGAATCCGGCTCTCTCCACCACTCACGTCCACCAGCTCTCAGGCCAACCGGGCTGGGTGGAGACTGGGGCCATCAGTTCCAGGCATTTGGTGCCGTGAGGGAATGTGGCCAAGGCAGCCAGCTCTGAGTTTCCAAAAGAAGCAATTTTAACACATCAGTTCACGATTTTCAAATGTTGGCAACTCACTTTAAAAACAACGAGAAGAGTCAGGCATGAGAGCGCATGCCTGTAACCCCAGAGACTCTAGAGGCTGAGGTGGGAGGATGACAAGTTGGAGGCCAGCCTCAGCAATTTAGGGAGGCCCTGTCTCAAAATGAAAAATATGATGGGCTGGGGGTGTGGCTCTGTGGTTAAGCACCTTGGGGTTCAGTCCCTGGTACTCAAAGCAACAACTACTAAACACCCAGTAACTAGCGGGCAAGAGATGAGCTCTTTGCTCTGGATGGGTGCAAAGCTGTGGTGTAGCTCATGGAATGCCTGAGCCCTTTCTGATCAGCGTTTCTGCAAAGCTTCCCGCCTGACGATGAGGACGAGGATGAGGGACTCGACCTCCCAAGCCTCTGCTCTGCTTTGTCCTGGCATCTGACCCCTGATGTCTTGCAGGGAACTGGATGTGGTGACAATCGGTAGCAGATGATGGAGGGTGAGGCCGGGAGGGGGCACAGAGTTGCCAGCCAGTAAGTGGCAAGAGCCAGCTAGAGCCAACTGTCACCCCAGCTGGGACCCGTACTTATCCCAACCTCCATGCCAGGCCCCTATGGCCAGCGCCTACGCGGGAGGACTTACAGGGGTGGGGGATGAAAGCCCTGGAGCTTCCTGCTCCCACCTCCCCCTCCCAAGCCAGCCGAGGTGGCCGGGCTGTGACTTCCATCCAAGGAATCGGGGTCCCACGGCTTTGTCCTTATACATCAACTGACTTACCATAGTTTTGTTGTGAAGATTCTCTAACCTCGGCAAAAGCAAGGGGGAGCCTGAATTTGCCTTGCACCCCATTTCTGGCACCCACCTTTCCTCTTGGTGTGATTTCACCCACACTCCTTCTCGCGCATGCCGATGGCGATTCCCGGGAGCAGGCAGTGGTGTCCCTAGCGGGACTTTGGCAATGTCTGGATGGTGGGGGTGACCCAGCAGGGGAGCCCCTCAGGGGTCATTCTGACGTGGCTCCGGAGGCTGGGGACCCTTCTCTTTGCTTTCTGGTCCAGCCAGAAGCCCCGGGCTCATCTCCTACCGCTCTGTCCAGCCCTGGAAAGGGCCACTCTCCAAGGCCCTTCCTGGGGGGCTGGGCTCTGGAATTGAAGTTTACAGATGCCCCCTACGAAAATCCTCATAATGACTCTATGAGCTATCTCCTACCACCCCAGCTCACAGACTAGAAAAAGCGGCTCAGAGAGGTGCAGTCACTTGCTAAGGACACTCAGCTCAGGAGAGGTGGGGCTGAGATTAAACCTATGGACGCCTGTCATCCCAGCAGCTGGGGAGGCTGAGGCAGGAGGATGGGGCATTCAAAGCCAGCCTCAGCACAAGGGAGACCCTAAGCCACTCAGTGAGAGCCTGTCGCTAAATAAAATACCAAATAGGGCTGGGGACCTGGCTCAGGGGTCGGGGCCCCTGGGTTCCATCCCTGGTGGAATTAAAAATAAAATACAATAGAGCAGCCGGGGAGGAGCCCGTGCCCTCGGGGCTCGACCTGGCTCGTGTGTTAGCAGCACCCTGAGGCTGGACCAGGAGTCGCCCCATCCATAGGCCAAGTCCCCGAAGGGTCCCGCAGTGTCCCCAGGCCGCTCACCTTGACGGTCTTCAGCACCTGCAGCCCCGGCCCAGCGCCCCCTCGGCGGCCCCCGCGCTCCCTGAGGGCGGCGTCCAGGGCGCCCAGCGCGCGCCGCGCAGCTCCCACGAACTCGGGCGGCGGCTGCAGGCGGCGGGTCACCAGCCTGTCGAGCGCGGCGGCCGCGGTGCCGTACACGTCCATGTCGCTGGCCGCGCCTCCCCGCCCGGACCGATCGCCGGGTCCTGAGGATGCGCCGAGGCACCGGCGCTGCCGTCCCGGTCCCTGTCTGGTTCCCGCCCAGCGCCGCGAGTTTCGGTTTCGTTTCCCGTTTTCCTCCTCCCCTCCGTCCCCTGTGACGGCCGCGCCCGCTGCCCAGCCCGGGTCAGCGCACCTGCAGCTGGACCGAGGAAGGTGTGCCGGCCCTCCCGCGGGGCTCCCCGGCTGCCCACGGGAAATCGGTGACAAAGTCCGGAGGAAGCAACCCTACCCTGGCAGCCAGGAGACCCCAGTTCTGGCTAGCCTGTTTTGCGGTGCAGCCCATGTGAGACGCTTAGCTTCTCTGGGCCTGGATTTTGTTATCTGTCAAATGGAGGAAATGTGCCCCACAAGCTTGGAGAGAACTTGTCTCAAAATAAGAAGGGTGGGGATATAGCTCCGGGGTTAAGCGCACCTGGGCTCAATCCCCAGTACCACCACCCCCCCCCCCACCAAAAAATAAATAAATAAGTAAATAAAAAACAATAAAATAAATGAATACAAATTAAATAATAAAAATTAAAAAGATAATTTAAGGCAAGAGTTTCAGATTTTGAAAAGGAAGGGTTGTGGAGTCAGATGGACTTGGGTTGGAGTTGGTGCCTATCTGTACAACCTTGTGCAAATTACTGGCCTCTCCTGAGTCTCTATTTCCTCGTCCATAAAAATGGGATTATAGGGGCTGGGGTTGTGGCTCAGTGGTAGAGTGTTCGCCTACCACGTGCGAAGTTCTGGGTTTGATCCTCAGCACCACATAGAAATAAATAGATAAAGGTACTGGGTCCAACTACAACTAAAAAATAAATATTTAAAAAGCGATTATATTTATGAGCCATTACTAGACAGCAGGCATTGTTCCAAATACTTTATATTTAATCCTCATAAAAACCCTATGTGGGCTGGGGGTGGTGGCGCACACCCGATCCCAGGGGCTTGGGAGACTGAGGCAGGAGAATGAGTTCCAAGCCAGCCTCAGCAATTAAATAAGGCCTTCAAACAACTTAGCTAGGCCCTGTCTCAAAATTAAAATAACACTAAAGAAGGGGGTGTGACTCGGTGGTTAAGTGCCCCTGGGTCCATCCTCAGTGGGGATGGGGATGTTGCTCAGTGGTAGAGCTGCTTGCCTAGCAAGAGCAATGTCCTGGGTTCAAGCCCCCACACTGGAAAGAAGGAAGGAAGAAATGAAACAAAAAAAGAAAGAAACTAGATAAGTAATGGCAATCCAGAGACCTGAGTCAAGACTGCAGACTAAGGGCCCCAGGAGCTCAGCTTGAGGCTGGAATGTCTCAGTTATAATGGGCCCTGTTATTTATTTTTTCAGATTTACTCTTAAGAAGCCAGAGTAGGCTCCCAAGTCAAGCTGATGTGGCCGTGCAGATTGTCAGGAGCCAAAGGGGCCCTTGGTCCTTCGGTGAAGCTGGGGTACTGAGGTCCTTCTAGCTGGAGGGGCGTGTGAGGGTTCTGGGGACCGGCCCGCGCTTCAGGGAGCTGTAGGGGCCTGTGATTGCCGACAGAGGGCGCTCCGCTGGGACGTGCTTCCTGGGTGGTCTTTTTCCAAAAGCATACTTTGCAGTTCTTCCCCGAGGACCTCAGAATATGACTTTATTTGGAAATAGGGTCTTTACAGAAGTAACCACGTTAAAATAAGGTCATCAGGGTGAGTCCTAATCCAATGCAACTGGTCTCCTTATAAGAAAGAGAAACCTAGACAGAGACGCGCGCACCAAGGGAAAAAATCATGTGACGTTGGAGGCAGAGATGCGGGGAATTCAGCCACAACCCAAGGACACCAGAAGCCAGAGGCATGGAAGAGACTCTTCCAGCCACCCCTGCCCACACCTCTAACAAATGATAAGGTGATTTACTAGATAATCATATTTATTAGACTTTAATTAGATAATTAGAAGTGAAATAGCTCTGTTTATTAGGATTTTCACAGACAGTGCCTGTCTCCTGTGACATGAGCCCTGACAACTCCCTCATCCACCTTTGCCTCCCCAGCACGGCCCCTGGGACCTGGCCCAGAGCAGGGCCTTGGCAATGTTTTTGAATCATCTTAATCATAAGCTCCATCCTTTAGGATAAACCATATATCAGGTGCCATCACCCAGTTGCTCCCTAAATCCTCTGCAGACACTTTTAGAGCTGTGATTGTTCCCCATGTGACAGAGGAGAGCCAGTTTCCCCGAGGGTTCAAGGGACCAGTGCAGGGTGGTGGCCTGAGGAAGAATCAGGCACTGGGGGGACCCTGGGGGACCCTGGGGCCCCGGCTGTTGCCTGGAGAAAGGAATTGTGGGAGGAGAAGGGAGCCAGGGGACCAAAGGCAGCAGCAAAATCTCCCTCTTTTGAGCTGGGGAACCTCGACAGGCAGCCTAGGGGGCCGGGTGGGCCTGTCAATGGTGTGTCCCAGGTTCCGCCACCTGCCAGATCTCAGCTGCGTCCTTATTGCCAGCGTGAACTCTGCCCTCCTCTCTTTGGGCTAAACATTAACTCTCCTCTGTTGGTTTTGTGGAGCCCAGAATGCGGGGAGGGCCCTTCCCCTGGAGATGCACGACCCGTTTCCACTCAGGCACCTTGATTTGCATCCAAAGTTGATCCTCCTCACACACCCGTGCTCCTGGGTCGAAAGACACTCCAAGTTCACGGACCATTCCTAAACTAACGTGTGTGATTTCTCTTGATTTTGTCCTTGAATTAGCAGCACCAAACAGTAGTGCCTCAGAGCTTTCTGTATACTTGGTCCTAAAATCTGGATCCCTCAGAGACCTGTGGGTTAGAGGCTTGGTTCCCAGGGTGGTGCTGTGGGAGGTAGTGGGATCGTTCAGAAGTGGGGTCTGATGGGAGGTTCTTGAACAGCCTCCAAGGCAACACTGGGACCCCCGGTCTCTTCTTCCTTCTCTTCTGCCCCCTGACCATGAGGCCAGGCATTTTATTTCTCCATAGGCTTCAGCTATGATGTGCTCTCTCCACACGGGCCCAAAGCAACAGAGCCAATCAACAATGAACTGGAACCCTCACAACTGTGAGCTTAAATTGTACATTTCCTCTTTCTGATTATCTCAGGTATTTTGTTGTAGTCCTGGGAGCTGACTCGGGGATGACTGCATTTGCACAAATTATCAGAGCTTAGCTGAGACAAAGGCTTCTCAAAAACACATTTTTGAAAGAAAAACTGTTGTGTTATTTCTTATGACTATACAAATAATACAAGTTTACTGCAAAAAAAAGATACTAAACTCAGAATATTCAGAAAAGCATAGAGATCACATATGATGCTATAACCAAGTATTTATAACCATTAAAAGCATTTAAGTCTCCTAACTATTACCAAATAAAGTTAAAGAAAATATAGTAAGCACAGTCTCAGTGAAACAAACCCCTAGGGATACCTGTCACAAATGACATGAAAGGTGATTTGTAGGCAAAAAAATAAATCCGCGTCCCAGTTGTTAGGATGTATAGAAATGGGTCGAAAGACATTCCAAGTTCACGGACCATTCCCAACTAACGTGTGCGATTTCTCACATTCGGGGCAGAACATCACAAGTTGACTCTACTATTCACATCAAAATAGAATGGCCAAGAGGAGCCAGAGTTTTGAGAAACAGAGAAAGGGGTTTCCTGAAGATGTCAGGACTCACCAGCCCCAGTACTGAAGACAAGGCCAGATTAACTCAGGGAGACAAAAATACACCAATGGGAAGAACCAGAGTCCCCAGACAGACTGGCCCATGGATGGGCTCTGGGTGCAAGTCAGAGTGGCCTGGCAGAGCAGCCAGGAGAGGGGGGGTCTCTCCAACAAACACTGCTGGGGATAAGCAGCCCCTGACCTCAACGCCATCTAATAAGACATGCTTTAGGTGTCTGGGCCTTTGGTGACATATCTATGAAGTCATCGCCAAGACTTCTAGGAGTTTTATTTTCAGGACATTGTGTTTCAGCCTTCATTCCATCCTGAGTCGATTTTGGCCTATGGTGTGAGGTAAGGGTTCAGCGTTATTCTTTGCACGTGGATATCGAGTTTTCCCAACAGTGTGTGTTGAAGAGCCTGTCTTTCCCCCGTTCTGTAGTCCTGGCAAACTTGTCAAAAATCAGCTGACACAGGCGAATCTCACGCCCACACCCACACTAAATGCACAAATAGACAAGGGGGACTGTGTCGTCCTAAAAGCCTTTTGCACAACAAAGGAACCATCAGTGGACGGAGATGTTTAAACATTGCACGTGCTGTGTAAGTCCAGAAGGACCCTGGGGAAGGCCCAGAGGAGCCAAAGGAGTGTGCTGGAGAGAGGGAGCTGGCATCTTCAAGGGTTTCCATGTTGTCCTTTTGGGAAGGACTTTCATTGGTGGTGGTGGAGGGGATGATAGGACCTTGGCACGATGGGGGGCAGTGGATGCCGTGGTTACCATGGGGGGATGAAGCAGGGGGTGGGGGGGGGAGGTCCAGGCCACAGAGAGTTGTGGATGTGGTTAATACAACGTGGCATCCTCGGGGCTCAGCTGATCCTCAGCCCAGAGGGAGACCACCCACTGTGGGTCATTAGAAGAAGCCAAGGTGACGGGCCCTGACCTGGTTTTTGGACCTGAGCCAGTTTTCATGCTGGAACCCGGTTGACTAACGAGGATGCAGGGCGCCCTGGGGTTCAGGACCCTGTGACGCCCCAGCACACACAGGAGCACTCTCTGCTAATGGACCAGAGCCCCTTATTCAGCCTATTGTACTGGCCACTTTAAAGCCAGCCTCAGCAATGGTGAGGTGCTAAGCAACTCAGTGAGACCCTGTCTCTAAATAAAATACAAAATAGGGCTGGGGATGGGGCTCAGGGCACGGACCTCTGACTTCAATCCCTGGTACCCCCTCCCCCCCAAAATAAAATAAAGTAAAATTTTTCTAGTTGAATTGATGGCACACACACGCATTGGCATCTGTACTTCTTCTGTACTTCTTGGCTCTTTGCCTTGAAGTTAATAAACACCCAAGAAAGACCTTTGCTGTTATTTTCATTTATTGTTATTGATAGTTGAACAGATGA